TATTATATTATATTATATTATATTATATTATATTATATTATATTATATTATATTATATTATATTATATTATATTATATTACATTATATTATATATTATAAACATAATATTATATATTATAAACTTGGCCACCCACGCACAGATTGTATTCATGAAGTAGAAAAAAATACAAAAAAAAAAACCTTCCGAATTGATAAATCAATTTCAACGTCAAAATGTACACATACGTTCACGCCGCAAACAAAGCGGTATATGACAAAATAAGACATGCACACAGATCCTTATTTATGTACGTCTTCAATGGAAACAAACACAGGATGCAGTAGCCAGTGTACTAGGTTTTAGGAGCTCGTGCGCCTCCAGGCGTTGAAGTGTTTAGACAAATGCGCCACGCTTCCCTCTGCCACGCCACGGCCCTAGGGTTTAGTTAGGGTATATGGCTTACATGGATTTGATGCGGGGGAACTGCGGAACCGCCGGCTCTCCCATGAGGGCGACACTGGGGTTTGTGGGGTCAGGCACGGTGCGGTACACAGCTGAGCTGTCTGTACGACAAAATGAAAAGGGAGGCCACGAGAGGAGAGCATAGAAGAAATTTAGAGAGAATATGGAGACAGTTCAGTGGCCAACAGAGCCATCAGTCACCGGCATCAGCAGCAGCCGAGACACGCAGACAGTAATGAATTAGTACAAATAAACAAAAAGAGGAGGCAACAGACCAAACAGAGCAAAAGGAAACTGTAAAGCTACAGAGGATCATATGGTTCCTCCTGATGCTGCTGCTGCCGCCCATGTTCCTGTTGCTTCTAATGTAGTTGCTCTTGTTGTTGGTGCTTCTGTTGTTCATGTTGTCGTACGTACACCTGCAGCAGCCACTCACTTGCTGTCTCCGTTCCCGGCAACGGCAGGGCGTACTTTCCCTTCCACTCCTTCACCTCCAACATCTGTTGCAGCCTCTGGGCCTCCTTCTCGTCTGCGCCGTCCGTAGCGAGGACGGCGCATTCTTCCGATAATTCCCCCATTATCCTCCAGAAACAACACCCTGCACAAGAAGCAGCAGGGGAAGAGCCAGCACACTTAAGCCGGAAAACTCTAACAGGAAAGGAAGCAGAAGCTAATAATACACACAGCAATGACAACGCAAACAAAAACGCAATAAACGGAAAAGACTTCTACTTCTTCCCGTTATCTGGTGGTGGTACTGCTGCTGCTGCGGCCGTCGCTGCAGCTGTACTTGCTGCTGTTGTTCAGGCGTTATCTGCTGCCGTTGTTGCATCTGATGGGATCTGTTCCTGCGACTGCTTCTGCTGCAGCGGTAGGCGCATGGTATCTGCGCCGGCACCAACGAGGCTACCATTTCGGCTCATCTATTTCTACTTTTAAACCCATGGAAACTCATGTGGAACAGATGCTGTTACAATTCCTGCCGCTGCTGCTTTCGCTCCATTCGCTGCAGTACAGCGCGGGGGCTGTTGCTGCTCTTAAGAGTGGTGTCCGCTCTTGCCTCTGTTGCGGTACACATGACACTGGACGAAGATCAGGTATATTTTGGAGTTACCTTCCCTCAATGGGAGGGAGAGAGAGCCGGAAACGTTTACTGCCGATGAAGAAACGCACAGGGCGTCTCCCGTGGGGCCCTCAACTGTACGTACACCAGCACGCCCAATGGTGAATGCTAAACCCTAAACCTTAAACTCAAAACCGTAAACCCCTAAGCCTACGTACCTCGCCGAAATAGAGGAGCAAGACTGTGTGAAGATGAGAGAGCGGAGAGAAGTTGGGCAACGGAAACCCTACCAAGGTTTTAGAGTCTACGGTGTAGGGTTTAGGGTTTCGGGTTTAGAGTTAAGAGCTCGGGGTTGAGGAACTGAAGCCAACGTGAACTAAATTTAGCATTAGAAATAAACACAGAGGACAATAGGTCGCACACCCAAGAAACTGCAGCGGCTTCTGCAGCTGCTGCTGCTGCTGTTGTTGTTGTTGCTTCTGCCTAGGCAGCCCTGGTGAAGGGAGCAAGTGGTTCGGTCGTCGTTTACATCCCTAAACTTGCCAAAAAATGAAATATGAAGTATTGAAAATTGGCAAACATAACGCAATGTAGATTTTCAAGAAAGACACTACAGAACCGGCAACAACCCGATCACCCTTCTGCTGTAGGACTCTTATTACGTATATGGTTTTGTTCGTTTCCTTCTAGTTTTTCTCTCCACATGAGGAACAGTATGATATATTTAACTATAAAAGGCTAATTACATCTCAAGTCAACAGCGAAGTGGTCCTCCTGCTCATTTTCACCTTGTATCTTCCGGCACACTCGCTCCTCTGGTTCTGTTGCTCCTCTGTAACTGTGTGTAACTGCAGCAGGAATAAGAACATGTCGGTTGCTCTTAATAGCCCCTGCAGGGCTTGGGAGGCTTCGTCTGCTTGGGAGCCTAGCCATTTTGCCTCTAGGGTGTTGGAACGAGATCCCTGGACCGCATATTCAAGGACCATCTCCACTTGCAACATAGCCCAAATATTTAGGGTGTCAATCCCTGAAAAGCAGCTGACCTCTATCATTAGTTTTCTGGCTAAATGGGGGCAGTGGCCCAGGCGCATGTAGCTGCGGGGGAGGAGGCGGCCCCATATGAATAGCAAAACACTGTGTGGAGCTCTAGATCCAAGGCAGGCACATATGCGAGCACAGAGAAACCTACTGCGTTAAATGTACCAACACAACTGTTGATGGTGTCCGCTTGCGTGCAGGCTGCATCCTATGGCCGAGCATGGGGGTCAAGACCCAACAACGCACAGACGCGGAAGCCCCCACAGGATATGTGGCACATGCACCTGGCGAAGCTCCTCAACCACAGCAGACGATCGTGGTTAGTTGCAATAGGGCCACAGTGCGTAGGACACGATTTCATAGAGAAAAACTGACATAGGCACCTGTCTCCAGGCTTCACGCGGCAATTGTGTTGTTGGAGACAATATCCCAAATGTCGCTGGTTGTTACGGGGAGGAAGGGCCCTGTCTTAAGGAGAAGGACACCTTCCTATGATTATAACTGTATAGAATTATTACATACGACCTTGCCAGGCGGCCTGTTGGTGCATGTGCTAACCCTGTAGACAGTTGTTTCATTGGCTTGCTGGGGCCTCAGCAGAACCCGGCGGGCAAGTAAAAGTATGCGCATCAACTTCTAGCAAAGCATATATCATCTGAAAGCTTATCCTTTACGCAGTGGGGGACCTCATAAGGCTGGCTGCGCAAAAAGCAATAAAGGGAGCCAGGGAGGGATATTATACCCATGGGGACGATATGGCCCGGACGAACACCAAGGGAAAGAAGAATAGCACACAGATTTTTCTGTTGGCAATCTGGAAAAACTAGGATGTATTTATTGGATAAGGGGCGCACCATACACCATACAAGACCTAGCAGTCCTGACCACTATTTTGTTTACTCCATCGTGGCCAGCTACAGCATGGCTGTCTTCTATGCACCAGACGTCTGTGTGGAGCACAGTAGAGATAAATGCCCAGAGCCCACGCTTTGCCAGGGGCTATCCTTCGTGTTGCAACGTTAAGCTAGTCGACCATTGCTTGGCTTGTCTAGAGCACCAACTGCATCACTATCCAGGGGAGTGATAGGACGGCAGCATAAAATGGGAAAGGGAATAATTCGCAAAACGCTAAGCGGCTGGTCGCCAGAGCTTCAGGAGAATGAAGGAGACGAACACCCAATAGATGCTTCCCTGGACAGCTACCTTAATATGCCATATGGTGGCCTTATTGGCCTCGTGAACTTAGTCACCCACATCCAGCATAATGTTATGAAATTGAACTGTCAAATTTAGGACTCCCATATCATGTTGGCATGACAGGTATTATAGAATAGAAAGATGTTTCATGTCATTTGTTCAACGTATAGTAGAGTCTTATTTGCCATCGCCTAAGCGTAGTCGCAAAAGCTGTGCAAAAGGCAGGTGTTTTGGCCCTCATTACCGTAGCGTCAGATAGCTTATCCAATTCGCAACATCCTTCAAGTACAGCTTGCAGCTCCTGATCGCTAGTACAAGGTACGACAAGCGGAGAGTGAACTCGAGGCGGATTTGCCGGTGTAACCTTCAAAGAAAAGAATGCACGTTCTTCTAGGGCTTCCTATGTAGCCCCCGTGTTTAGGTCCCACATACCTGAACTGTTTCCAACGGCGAAGACATTCGTGATGAACTAGGTTAGCGGGAAAACCACTTCCATTTTCATTGGCTTCCGATGCTGACCTCGCTCCAATTGGGCAAAGCGCCTAAGCATTGGACACATTCTAGCCAGAGAACAGATCGTGGTCAACCTTCTTGGTAAACTTCGTCACAGGACAAGTGCGCTGAATTGACGATGAAGGCATTTACATCTTCTCTCTCCTGATTCTTCGTGCCAATTATTAGGGTGCGTGTCAGAAAACTCGCGTGCCGTCTGAGCTGTGCTGCGCTACCAAGTGCGCGCAGTGTCCCCGATCTTAGCAGCTGCGCGTCGTGAATCTCCATACATATGCCAAAAAGCAGGGCAAACAGAAAGCCTCTCAACTCCCCTTTACTTCCCCAAAAGTATTGGGAGCAGTAATGCAAAAGAATGTGGCTGGTGGAGAGGCGTCGGCCTGCCATTAAGGTGACCCCACAGAAAAGGGAAAACGACCTCCCAGTTAAAGCATACGTTGCCGTTGTAGGCAACTCTTGAGTACCGTAGATGCCTTCTGTATCCAGCCGTGAAGAAATTAGAAGTGGCTGCAGCAATTTCCGGTTGCATCATGTAGTCCATGCAGTAGAGGATGCTGCAAGCCGTTCTTGATTCATTTCCTCGCGAGTGTCACATGGATACCCCCCACATGAACTAACCTACTCAAGGTCAACCTAACAAAACCCACTGAGAATCGCTAGAAACAACCCGAGGAATTCGTTTCCCTCTTCTGTGAGGCCTCACCAGCAATTGCTTCTTCCGTCAAGTGCACTCTTCCTAACCACTTATTTTCGCACCTACGTCTTGGCTATTGATAAACACCTATTCTGCATGTTTACTGCAGAAGAGCACCAGTCCGGTTGCTGGCCCGCCACTGTCGTGTGAGCGAAGCTACGTCTTGTTCCCCGGGACTCGTAAATAAACTAAAATATCGAACAGTCATCAATGTTGGTTCTATTAAGTTGAACTTTCATCTCGGGTCTACTACGCTGATTCGTTGGTCGTAAGCGGTCGCCCGCGCCTTTCTTTTATCTAATCACAGCGTCGTAGCGGTCTGTTAGGTGGACCATTGGCTCACGAATCAGAGAGTCAATCAAGCTTTGGATACTTTTGCACTGGCTGCATTGTTTTCTGCGCATACAGATTGTTTATCCATGTTTATTTCCTCAGCAGCGACTCTTTGCTACGACACAGGCTAACGACCCACTGCCATATCTCGCGTAAGCCGCGCGAGGCACTGCAGTGGCGCACTGCAAAATTAGCACCGACGACCTCTCCGAAGTTCACATAATTCAATATAAACACGAAAATTGAATGATAAACTTTTAGTATGCAACACTCCCACTTACAAGATGGCCTTCGGCTGTACGGGCGCTGGGCCTAGGCTAGGCTGGAGGTGTACTGCACAAGCACTGCAAAGGATCTCCCGCAAGCCCTCTAGAGGCCAGTATTACCAAAGACAGTTAATTTGGACATATAAAGTAAGAACTAGGTTTCTTTAGAAGGAAATTACCGCTCTTAAGGCCGCGACTGGCATGCAGCCTGCAGAGGATTTTATCTTTAGTTTGGGTGCGATCGAGACGCGCTGCTAATTTTTCGTTGACGCCCTACACGTGGGTCAGAGGGTTAAGATCCTCTTGGGATCTCCATTTTCCTTATCTATATTGCCCGACATTCGTGCACTGGTTTTATACCCCTGATTAGGGTTATTTTAGGGGTAAGAATCATGTTTTAGTAAACAATTGTGGTGCACCAGTTAGCTTGATCTGTTAGCCTATGTAGTCGGTACGTAGTAGAAGCGAGTGCAAGCTGTGCAGTAAGCAGAGCGAACAGAACATGGGAAATGCTAGTGATTAAGCAGTCGGGGAACACTGAGGTTGTTGTGCTTCTAAAGGTATTTTTTGAGGAGCATTGAGTTGAGACGGAGGTTAAGCGGCCTTAGTCAACTGGGGATCATATATCGGAGTTGCTGACGGCTGATAATAGGAAAGCACCAGCAACGAGAGGAAACCCTCAACCGTACACCAGAAACACTGAATTTGTAAAGGTATGCTTATAGTGTGGGGCCATACAGGTGTATGGAACGTGTATCTGTTGCTTTTGATTCCGTCGGTGCAAGCGGCTGCTTCTTCTGTCTGTACACTCCACTTGAACCCACTAGGAGCCTCGATTGCTGCTGAGGAAGCATAATACGATGCGAAGTTCCATCACCCGCTATTGTACACGCACTAGCCATACCCAGTCACGCGCTTTGGGCTCATGCCCTCCTTTATTCACCAGTTGATTAACGCAAACCCAAAGCGTAAGCATCCACGGACGTACTGAAGAAAGATGTGAAGAAGCATGTTTTTCGTTCAGCGCTGATGCTTTGCTAGTGCCAGCTACTCCTACCTTTGCATTTGCATACGTCTGTCTACAAGGGATGGGCTGGGCACAGGATTGTAATATAGGCTCTCCCCGTTTGCGTCGCATCCTTAGTGGCTTTTGCTGCGCCTCTGCAGTTTCCTGAGCCGTAATTCAGACAACTGAAGGAGTGTGGGGGTGCTCGTCTTTGCCAGTACTACGAGCAAGCCGGTGATGGCACGCCGGGGTCATTACGGGGGATCATGCAGGCAAACAAGCATGCATCTGCGTATCTTCATTGGCACAGGGTAGTGACATTTTAGAGCAATTCCATCTCTCGTTAAAACTGTAGAAACCGCAAACGGTTTTCTCCTTTGGTCCCTTCATCTGCCGAACATCGGGGGCAGCGCGCTGCCCCGGATGTTCTAACACTGCGGCTCTTGCAAAAAAAAGCTCGCGAGCAAAACAGTTTAACAGCGTAGCCGAGGCAGCTGCTGCTGTTCCTGCTACAACAGCCACAGTGATTGTACGGGCAGAAAAGCATATCCCTCAATTTCCGTCGTGCATCCCCAGCTCCTCACTGGTACAACGGTTATATTAATGAGTATTGTGTTCATATCCACCATGTACGAAGGGCTCACGTGGGAGGAGCAAATGGCAGCGTCTGGTAAGCTGGGGGAGGCTGCTGTTGCTGTTGCTGTGCCTCATCATACGGATGCTCCAGCGGGTGCGACTCCAGCTGCTGCTGTTCTTCGAGCTGGTGCTGCTGCTGCTGTAACAGCTGCTGGTGGTGCTGCAACTGTTGCTGTTGCTGTGTGTGCTGTTGCTGCTGCAGCTGTTGTTGTTGCTGCTGCAGTTGCTGCTGTAGTTGCTGCTGCTGCAGCAACTGATGGTGCAGCCCCATAGGCAAGGCAGCGGAAGCAGCAGCAGCCTGCGCCGCAAACGGGGAATATCCGGGCAATGCATGGAGCGCGCTTCTGGCGATACTCAGTAAAGGGTGTTGCTGCTGCTGTTGCTGTTGCTGTTGCTGTTGCTGAACATTGTAAATTTCAGCTTGCTGCTGCAAAGCCTGTAATACAGCACGACCTTGCTCAGACACGGGAAACGATATTCCTATTCCATGCTGTAGCGCGGCCCTCGCGCTTGCTGCTTGCAGGTGTAACAACAGCTGTTGTTGCTGCTGCTGCAAGTGTTGATGCGGCAACGGATGGCCAAATTGGGGTCGCTTCATCAAAGGAGACAGAGCGCGAGGAGTTTGCTGTGCTTCACCATGGAGCTGCTGCTGTTGCCGCTGCTGCTGCTCCTGCGGCTGCTGCTGGCCAGCCAGCTGAGCACATTCTTGTGCCAGTGCAGCGGCAGAAAGTGCAATATTCCGAAGTTTCTCTCCAAGCGCCTCATTGGTTGCTGCACTGTTGTTGTTCTCTTCCCCCAAAAGCTTTTGCTGCTGCTGCTCGAGCTCGTCCCTTGCCTGTCGTGCTGCTGCTGCTGCGTCCTCCTCTAGCTGATCGGTAACTTTGGCTTGGCGCAGCAACTGCTGCAGCAGCTGCTGCAGCTTCTGCTGAACCCTTTCACTAGACCTTCTCTCCGCTGTGCTCTCTGCCTCATCTTCCGGTCCCTGCTGCTGCAGCAGACGATGCAGGAGCTCACTGCAGCAGTCGTACAGCTGCTGACGGCTTTCCTGTGCCGCTGCTCTTGCATTTCTTCCCTTCCTTTCTGCTGCTGCCACGCGATGTCGCAGTGCAGCAAGAGGGTCGACACCCGAGTCTCGGCGTGCTGCAGCAGCGCCTCGTTGCTGCTGGGGATGCTGCGGCTGCTGCGGCTGTTGCTGCTGCGGCGGCAATTGCTGGTGCTGCTGCTGCAGGTCTAGCAGTCCAGCAGCAGATTCCGGCGTTGCTGCGGATCCCCATCCAGGTGACTCCGCAGCGCCCCGTGCTTTCGTTCTCAGTGGCCTCCCCCTAGCTGATCTCCTCTGGAGCTGTTGCTGCTGCAGCTGCTCCTCTATCTCTTCATCGCTCATCAATTCGTTGTTTTGGGCCTGTCTCCCGCGTCTCCTGTGCGCAGCGCGTTTCCCTTGGTGGTGGTGCTGCTGCTGGGGGGTGTTCTGCTGAAGCAACTGGTGCTCGAGCAGCACCTCGATGTCCTCAGGAGAAGACGATGTCCACTTGGGCGGCTGTTGGGGGGGAAGGATGCTGTCTGGATCGAGGGATCCAAGCTCCCTCTTGGCCTTCTGCAAAACCCGCAGGAAGTCGAAGTGCAGTTCACCGTACGTCTTGAACACATCTTGTCTCTTCTCCAAAACAAGTGCTATGCTACGACTGTCCCCTGGGTTGGTGTTGCTGCTGTTGCTGCTCGGGATTATCCGCACAAGCCGAAGGAACCGCGCAGGGGACTGCGTATTGAACGTGGCCGAGTGCAGCGCCTGAGGAAGCATCCGCAGCAGAAGCAAAGAACGCATCAGCACCGAAACAACAAAATCAAACAAAGCTGCAGCAAAATCAAAAGCAGGCAATGCACGCAGAGCCCCTAACAACGGCGGAATGCACCGTCAGCAGAAGGCCGAACAGGGCAACAACGATAGCATGTGAGACTGGGTAGCAACAGCAGCACGACCACCAGCAGCAACAGAAGCAGCAGCCCTGCCTTGAAGAGAGTTAACAGGTGAATATCCATCTTCTCTCTTGGCTCCAAGAACACTAAGAAGCCTCCAGATGATCCGAAGGAGTCTCGGGAAGACTCTGCCAGTGGAGGAGACGGTGAGCCCGTGTCGATATCCTTTGCTGCTCCTGATGCATCGTCTGTTGTTGCTGCTACTGCGCCTGGCTCGGCCGGCACAGAGTCTCCCTCAGCTTTTGCCCTCTGTTGTCTACTCAGCTGCTGACTCTGCACACCGGGGTTCTCTAGCTTAGCCTCTGCCCCCTGCTGCTGCTGCTGGGGCCGTTCTGCTTGGGGGAAGTCAGTATCCGTGGAGAACCCGACGCCGCCAATCCCCACGCAATCAGTGTCTTTAAAAGCAGCAACACTAGCAGGCTGCTGGTTAGGCTGGTGCTGCTGCAGCAGGAGCGCCAGACCATCGAACCAATCAACCAGATCCCTGGGTATTCTCAAGTCGTCTTTCCAATTCAGAGACCCCGTGAGCGGCAGCAAACAACAAAAGCTGTCCAAAGTGCTCTTCAGCAGCACATACTTCGCGCATCCCACAAATGCTCCTGCGTCTGTTCCTTCTCTTGCCACTCCCGCTGCTGCAGCTTCTGGAGAACTCGCAGCGCCAAGAGAGATTAAAGCGGCTGGAGATATTCCTGTCGAAACAGGACTCTCCTGCCGCTGCTGGTGTAGAAGATCACGTGCATGCAAACTGCGCCGTGTATAGGCAAAAACAGGTGTAGCAAGAAACCTCAAACTGCTGCTGCTGCTCCCGGCAACCCCACCAGCAACTAGAGGGGCACCTGGCGCCTGCGGCTCAACTGATTGCTGGTGCTGCTGCTCAAAATACTGTGTCCCCTTTTGCAGCTTAAGAAATTCCAGCTTCCCGTTATCGTGGAGATAACGCAGCACTGCAGCAGCAACGTCGCCCCCGCTTCCATAGAAGGCTTTGACAGCACACGGGAACGCAGCAGTAGCTGGTGGTTGTGCGCAAGGAGCTGTTGCTGCGAATGCTGTTTCTCTGGCAGACGAAAGCTGTGAGCAAGCCGCCGTCTCCGCTGAAACTGTTGCAAGTGATTCATAGGGCAAGCTGCTATTTTCTTCCTGCTGCAAATCGGCCTGCTCTACGAAAGCAAGTGTGGTTGCTTGCTGTGCTACTTCTGCTGCTGCTGCGTCCCCTGGCGACGCATTTGCATCTGCAAATGCTGCTGGTGGTTCTGCATGTTCTGTGAGTGGCCAAGGACTGTTCTCTGATCCTCCAATAGCAGACAAGGCTGCCTCACTGCAGCATTCTAGCAGCAAAAACCTACCGCTGTCTGCTGCTGCTACACAGCAGAAGCAGCTGCCGCACCGTGTGCTGCTGCTGTTGCAGCAACACGGGGGAGGAGATACTGCACTGCACTTGAATTTGGCCTCCAAGCATGAGAGGAAGATATGTGGAACCACCGGCCGGCTGCCGTGTCCTGCCTCAACACAAGTTTGCTGCTGCTTCAGCTCGAAGCCGGGAAGGGCCCGCAGCAGCAACGCACCAGCAGCAGCAGGAGAGAAGGAATTGAATGCAACAAGCCGATCCTGATGAGACCGATAGAACTGCCTCCACCTCTCTGCATGCGTCTCAGCTGTCACAGGAACAAGGCCCTTACCACTGCTACAGCTGCTGCCAGGCGTGCCCCGCTGCTGCTGTTGCTGCTGCTGATGTTGCTGCTGCAATGCTGCTTCTGTGTACAACTCGAGCTCTAGGGAAGGGTCTGTGCCACCAGCGTGCAGCAGACTGTAATTTCGCACTCGTCGGCATCTTCGTTGGGATCGACCACGTGTAATACCTTCTGTAGCGGCTGTGTCCGTTGCTGCTGCTGCTGCTGCTGCATCCTCCACTTCATCGTCTTCTTCGTGTGCACCTGTTTCTGTTGCTTCCCGCCCGCCGATATCTCCTTCGCCCTTGTCGCTGCTGGTGTTGCTGATGCTTCTGCTTCGGCGACGACCGCGTTTAGACGATACTGCGCCGGCACCTGAAGGTGGAGCAGCAGTTGCTCCTCCAATTGTCGGTGTCCTGAAGCTGCCGCGTCTCTTTCCTCGCAAACCACCTCGGGACGCCGGTGTGCTGTTCTCGTTCGGAGGCGCTCCGTGGGCGCTGCTACTTCTGCTGTGGTAGCGACTGCCCCAGGAGGAAGCAGCAGAAGCTGCCTCGTCCTCCGTGTCGCTACTGCTGCTAGGTGTCGCCGACCCCGACTCTCCGCTCTGCCCAGCGGTAGCTGCAGCAGGCTGCTGTTGCAGTGGACCTCCGCTGCGACTAAGGGCTCCCCGTCCCCAAGGTTTGGGGGCGGACTTCGCCGCTGCTGCTAACTTGCGGGCAGGGGCACCTCCGGCAGCCGCTGCTGGTGCTGGATCCCCTGCATTTGCAGCAGTAGCAACAGAAGGAACAGCAGCAGCCGGGTCCGCGTCTGCTGTAGTTGTGTCCATCTCGGCTGCTGCAGTGTCTTACAGCTTTGCCACTGGGGGCCCGAGGGGGCCCCCGGAGGCAATGCTGTATCACAGGGGCAGCCGCGCCAGCTGCGAGAGCTAACAAGGTCTTTTTCGTTGACCAAAAGGAAATGTTTGAGTCAAGACGTGTTTAATTGGGTCCATGGAGTGTGCAGGGTTGTCCCCTCGTGCAGTGGTGCCGGCCGTGCTGCGGCTGTTGCTGCAGCTGCATCACCGTTAGGTGCTGCTGATGTTTATGTCTTCACTCAGCTCCCTCCCACTTGTCCGTCGAAGTGCCTTTCATTGAGGGTTAGTAAGCCAAACATGTTCAAAAATGAGACCCGGGAAGATCCACCGAGGAGCTGTGTGGGGTGTACCTTCACCGCAGCAGCCGGTGGCTGGAGGTGCTACAGTTGCGCCGGTCTTGATTATCCTGCACAAAAGAGTTCCATGTTCAAACACATCCTTTAGAGCTTTTAACGAATCAAAAGCGTGCAGAGGAAGCATTGTAAGTAGTTTGGGTGAACTCAGTTGCTTCTCTCCACTCCCCGTACCAACAGCAGTTGTAGCGCGGTCTGGCTCAAGTTAGTACACGAATTTGTACTTGCGTGTAGTTTCAATGCCGACTGCACGGAAGTGTTTAGCAACTGTCTATAGGGTAATAGCATGTACTAAATGGGGCGCTGGGCTCGCTGTATGTGAAGATGATTTGGGTCACGACTTGCAGTATATGTGAGCCAACAGTTGTAGCCGAAGACACATGGTGTCCATTAAAGTCGACAAATTTCATGCCCTCTTCTGAAAGGCTACAGCCATAGCCTGCAGTCTCCAGGCATACTGGGCGCAGGTCCACAAGGGTTGGTTGATGGTGCAGTCCGGTAGCATCTAACATACCCTGTTTGATGGTGGCAACTCTGCTTGCAGTTGGTACACAAACCCTTAATGGGCCTTAGAAGGCAACCGGTACGCAACCATGAGTTTTCAACAATGGTATATAGTTCTCATGCATACAGCAAAGGATGCTGATTTCTCTGCACGTGGGGTTGATAGGTAGCTTCACTTGTGGCAAGGTGTGCCACAGCTGGCAGGCCGGCTCTCCTCTCCCACCGCTCCAGGCCCTTTGGTTGCTGCACTGAGCACTCCTGGACAGTCGTAATGGACGTTTGCTGCTTCTAAGGAACGCTTATCTTTACCGACCTAGCACGGAAAGGCTAATCAACATCCCTTGCTGTATGCATGGACACTTTCATGGTTGCGTACCGGTTTCAACCCAGGGCCAAATAAGGGTCCATGTGCCCACGATAGGCAGACTTACAAACAATGAATCAATGAAGTTCGCAGAAGTTCTTTGATTAGATATAGGCCTGTTGTTACGCTTCGTAGCACCGCATGATTCATCTGGTACGCGCAAGCAACGTAATGCTTGATCGCAAGACAACCTGGTTCACAGCAGTTTCTGCTTCAAATCATACATGCATAAAAACCACGGTTAGAACATCCCCAAAGCATCCTTTAAATCGTAGCATTTCACTGTTGCCAGAAGTAGAGTTATCAGGACCTGCCCCATAGTGTAGGGGCGACCAAGGGTTGGGAACCACATTGGGTTGAAGCCAGCGCAACGCCTGCATCCCATCCAATGCAAAAAGTTTTCACGCCCAAAGCAGTTAATGAAGAATGCTTCCGCCCTTGCCGAGGATCCAAGTAGGACAATCGCCGCTAAGCGGGTGCTCTGAAGAAGCTTATTGCATCGCTGGAGCCGTATTGTATTCTCCCGCTAGCACCAGAAGGCATTGCTCCTGGTGTCTTCGTTATTAAAACTGGAAGCACGCTAATGGTGGTTGTGTCTAAGCAAGATTACTGAATTTATGAAGCAAATCGGGACTAGGGTAGATGTGAGGCACCCGCTACGATGTACGTTCACTGCTAGATCGATACGGGGACAGGTTATCGCCGATCTCAGCAAGGTTAAACAAGGTAAGCTATCGGTAGAGCGATACACCGGAAAATATCAGTGGTTGTTAAGCAGAAGCCAAACTGTGGGCCCTGAACTTCTGTATCGATGGTTCATTGCGGGGTTGGCCCCCGGACAAAGCCAGTCAGGGACTGGCTGGAGAGCAGAGAGGCAGCAGTGAAATGAAGCAGTTGAGCTCGCAGATAATATGGAATACCTACAAATATAGGAGCACAAATGCCGCATCTCCAACACAGCGGAAAAGAAATGCAGCAGAAACGATGTAGATGTAGGGCGTATGTGTGTTAGGGCTGATTGCTAGCCCCACCAAACTGTGAAGGCAAAGCACAAACCTACAACACCCGGGACATTTGCCAGTGGGAAGGACGACGGGAGGTGTGGAGGCGCGCATCTGCTCCTTTTTCAACGAACAAGGTAACATAATTGGAGGTTGCAAACGTATGGCAAACAATTTAAGTACTTCGAAAATCAAGGATTCAAGCAGGGTGGCAAATCGAACAGGCACAGCTGTCAGGAAGACCCCGTATCCAGCGCTCAACATCCGGCGTAGCGAGAGGGGTGGATGAGGCCACAACCGCACACCCAGACACTCTTCGAGTTAGCTCTCTGCCTTCCAAATCCGTTCTTCTGAACAGCCTTTTGTCGTGCTACGTGACTCACGTTTAGAGGTGGAGCAGTTCTTTGCAGCTATCGCGACAAAATGCAATCATATAATTCATTATTTGGCTGTCTTTGCCTAGGTTGCGCGAATGGTACATGAGAATTGGCGAGAACATGAGCGTAAAATTCGATACTACTTCTGAAATTTGCCACTTTACCTTTATATAGGACTTTTTTGAGATGATCGCGTTCGCCATGTCATAATCTTAGGTATGCCGTGAGTAACACAGTAAAGGGAGCACAAACGCGCGCCAGATGAAGACGTTGAAGTGTACATTCCGAGAAACACGAATATAGTGCGCCTCTGAGCGCTTCCATTGGCATGTGCAACCTCTCATCAAGTTGCATTCAACTAGGAGGTGCTATGATAGGATTGATGCGGACTTTCTAAATTATTTCAGGGAATCTCGAAAATATCTACGATGGCTACCAGCCAAACGTTAGCAACCGTGATGTCTGCTGCCAGCAGATGATACTGAGATCCTCGAACCACGCGAAACAATTCGGGCGACCTATACCGCGGAAAGTTTTCGTTATATGCTATAGGAGACAGCAAGCCGAATGGCTTTCTGAGAGTCGCTTGCGATATTCCATTTCAACTGGGCGTCTACGTTCAGCCGTTGACTAACAGTTGCGGTGTTATCGGTCCTGCGGTGGATGAAGCGGTAGTACTTCGTCTTGCTCAAGCTTTACCGCATGTGGTGCAACAAGTGGGGTCTTCGGTAGCCGGGGGAAGTCGTCAGTTGCACAAGACCTAAGCAAAATGTTCCCTTAAACCAGCTGAATTCCCCTGGAACCCTCTGAAGTCCTCTGTACAGCAGCCTACTAGGCTGCTTGACACCCTTCAACCCACCTCACTGCAACTAATGATGGACGTCAACCTCATACGCAGGCCCAGCTAAGTCCCTTCTGTTGCATGCTCTATCCTTGTAGCCCGTTTCCGAATACCTTCTTGACCCATTTTAGGCCCACTCCGCACAAACCCAACAGACAAAGACAAAACATGTGTTGCGTCGTATGCAAGTAATGCTGCAAGGTAACCCAACTCGCAAGCACAGCGAAGCCCCATTTCTTCGCCCCGTAACACTGTATTGAAATGTAAATAAAAACCATTCATTGCCCTCCTGCCAGCCTACTGTTCAGATACACCTTCCAACTCTACAGGTGCCATGCAACACACTGAAGCATCAAGAGGAGCCAAGGGAATCTATACACCAAATATTTCAGTGGAAGACTCCAATTGATGAACTTTCCCACTGGCAAGCTCTCTTCATCGTAACATTGGCCTACTGAAAGTGGAACCACGCCGTGGGAGAGTTGCCACTCCACATCCTATGGGCGGTCGCGTTTTGCACAGCATCTTATCGAAGGTTGACCCCAGGAGAAATTGAAGAACAAATACGTGCCCCATTAGTAATATCTACGTAGGCAGACGAAGAGAACCGTTTTTTTTCATATCTGCCTATTGCCACGCATAATGAGTGTAGTGAACAGCGCCCAGCTGTTCCTACGTATAACTCTTAGTAGTTCTGGTGCACACTCAGCAAGTATAAGCCAGACTCAGCTAATCTCTGCTAATACCACTTGAATAGGGAAATAATCAAACTTAAAACATATTCGAGTGAATATTACCAAAAAAAAGCCAGAATAATATAACTGGTCGGCTCCCCCCCTCTCCGGAGAGGGTCTGAGCCAATGCAACTGCGTTAGCCTCAGCCCTGGGTCTCGTGGACGTGCACTCTTAACTCACTGGACCTCTTTTCTATCTAAAGAGTTCCAATATATAAGTGTTTATATTTATCATTGTTCCCTTTTGCGAAACTAGGCATTTAATGCCACAACCAGCGCTCTATTGTAGTGCGCGTGCACTACAATGAGCATTGCGGTTTTCATCAGCCCCAGCCAAAATCTGGTCTCCGTTGACCACAAAGCTGTAGCCATTGCAGCAAATAATGACGACTATGGGTAGATATATGTTAATTCAACAGTTTGTAAGACTTCCTTACTTCTAACTTCGAATTCGAGGAACCCGATAGTGCTCGACACTGCAGCGGCAATGCCGCCAGCTGTAGTCTTCTTGACCCAACCCTGTGCTTTCAGCAGTTTATAATGCAGCATCTGTCCACTGAAACCACATCAAGGGAGACGGCTTCCAACGCTGCTCACTCAACGTCCACGGCAGCTTCGCACGCCCTTGCAGTCCCGGCTGCTCTGGTGGTCGCCGAAGGGAGTAACTGTGAATCGCAGAATGCTGGTGAAGGCACGAGCCATAGACAGCAATTTGGGCTCATAGATGGGAAGCAACAGGACCAGCAGGAGCAGAAGCTGACTTATCAACGGGAACAACGCTGCAGGGACCAGCCACCACCACGAACGTCGGGTCCACTGGTCTTAGAGGGGCGCGTTCGGTACTCATTTGCCACACGCACTGTTGATAGCTGCCAGCTCCAGAGCCTGTGTAGCGTACAGGTGCAGTCCGATAACATCAACCGCACTGCCACGTCGCGAAGCATCTACAACGGTTGCAGTGGTGGCAGCGGGGCAAGCACCAGTAGCAAGGGTATTTGCTCAACAGCGGCCTCCTGCTCTCTAAGGGGAAGTTCAGTTTTCGATAGCGGGAGGGAGGGCGCTTCGTGGGGGCTGAATTGTGAAGACACAGGAAGCAGTGACAGCAGCAGCAGCTGCAATAGTAATGGAGGGGGCACTGTTTACGGCAATGGCAGTAGCATAAAGGGCAGCATCTGCAGTCCCGATGATGGTCACCACGCGATTCCCGCCTCTTTACAGGCCTCTTCAGCTACCGGGCCGCCTTCGGTTGTCGTGAATCCCAGGGAAGATGCCTACAGAAGAGTCAGCTGTCGCAGTACGGATTTCAGCACAAGCACCAGCAGCGGGAAGAGCAGCAACATTTGTTGCGATGCTGAGGAGAATCGGCTCATTCCACTACTCTCTGCCACCGATATTGCACTGTTGCTACGCGACTATGCCGCTTTTATTCATCAGACGGAGCGGCAACTGCAGCAGCTACAGAAGCTTGTGCAACAACAGCAGGTGGCTAAATTCGGGGACGACAGACCACGGCAGCAGCAGGAGTGCTTAGGTTTGGGTTGGCCCAATTCATCTGGCCGGCCTTTGACAGGCACGACTGCCTTTGTGCGTCAGCAGCGTCAGTGTCAGCGACACCAACAGCAGCAACAGCCCGAGGAGGCAAAGCGTTTGCGACGGTGTATTGCTGAGGGAGCTGTTGTTTGCCACTCCCTACACTCTCGCCTATGTTTGCTTCTTGTGGAGTCATCTTCAACTGCTGTTACTGCTGCAGGGAGCGAGTTGTTGCTGGGAAAACTGCGGCGTGACTTTGTGCAGCAGCAGCAGCAGTACACACGGCTACTACGGCTGCTCAGTTCTGCAGCAGATGCTCTTTCTGAGCAACACGAATCGGTGCACCAGCGTGAGACAGAAGCGATAGCGAGCATTGTCAGCAATGCAGGCAGCACTCCTCCTGGAGAAACATCGGGGGGATCATTTGATGCCACCGGCCCTGCTCGCATTATTTGGCACAGCGGCCACCAGGGCTCTCCGTGCACCTTGCCTGTGGATTGCCTTCATTTTGAGGATCCTCAGATACAGCGACAGCGCGAAAACTCCCTGTGGAACTGCTGGGGAGACCATGCATACAATTCTTCAGGAGAGGCAGCCAACAGCTGCCTACACCAACCAGATAGAAGTCTGTGGCTGCAAGGCTTTTCAGGAGCCCTCCCACCCCTTTTCATTGGCCCTAGTGACCCGCGGACAAGTGTGGTTGATGGTGCTTCCCATGAAGACTTGTGGGAGCCCGCGGCTTTGATAGAAGTGCACGAAGACTACGAGAAGCAACAGATTATCAGTGAAAGGAAGCAACAGCTGCAGCAGCTGCAGCAGGTAGAACACTGCGTTGCTGTGCTGCGGGAGCTGCAGTTGCACGTGACAGAAGACGTAGACAGAGGCAATCAGCGACTGCATACAGTAGAGGAAGAAACAGAAGCTGCAGCAGACCACACTGAGGCAGGTGTGGGAGAGCTAGCTGCTGCAGCGCGCAACAAAACACGTTGGTGGGGGGTTCAAGGAGGAGGTGCTGCTGCTCTCCTTGGTGTTGGCGTTGGTGCAGTCGCTGGAGGCCCCATTGGAGCTGCTGTAGGGGCCATTGTGGGCGCTGTTGCCGGGCTGTCTTCAGGTGCTGCCTTGAGGGGAAGACACCGAGAAAGGGTGAATGCAGCCGAACGGTCTGTGAGGCGCAGGAGGGCCCAGCGTGTGAAACGGTCTTTAATCTCTTCAACGCCGGGGGGTTTGAGCACCATTCAAGGTTCTGCAAGTGGGGCCATTTCTCTAGGCTGTTTCAACCAGACACGAGAGGCCGGTGCGCGAACAGGTAGCGGCACGTCGCTTCTGTGGGATCCTGTGGGGGTTCCTCATTATAGCAGTGGCGCGAGACCCTGCAGTGCACCAGGCATCACGTCGGGGCGATCGAATACTTGTGGGCCACAGGCAGCTGGAGCGGGTCCCACAGGGTCGAGTGATAGACCCACGTTCGGAGAGGCTGTACATGAAGAAGGCATTGGAACGGAAGCAAAGGGAGCGTTGCAGAGTGGTCAACCAAAGCTTGTTGCCGGGAGGAACAGGCAGAGACACCAGCGGGCCAGCATTCGCCTCGCTGGTGTGCAAGGAACACTTGGCGCAACCGGCATACTGCCTGTTATGCACTTCTCGCCTGGGTGATTGGCTTCACAGCATTAATGAGTACAACAGGAGGAATAGCAACAATATGCACAGCAACGCCGCCTGCAGCTTAACGGACACCTGCTCCTAAACTTTGAAGGCGGTGAAGTCAGCAAGCATCGTGAATTTCCGTTGGCTGCAGTTTCGTTTATTCACAACTCCAGTTCTACTGCTTAATGGCTACGTATTGTATGACATCGGTTATGCAGATATGTTTCTCTAGTAGGTGTTCACAGTGGTGGGGCCACACGAGCCACCGGTAGTTTAATTGGTGAACGCTGGTCTGTAACGCCCGGTTTGGTAGTCCGCACTACTTCTAGCCGAACCACGTCCTCTATTCATAGCTATCGACGAATCACTTGCTTTCTGAGTCCATTTGCCCGTTCCGTCATTAAAAAGAGCTCCCATGCTGTTCGAGTTATAAGGCCACCCAGGGAGGCATCCCGCAATCAGAACAGAACTGACTAGACTGGTTGTAAGGAATACAGTTCTGGTGCCGGTGACCCCCACTGGATTCAGCTGCGACCTCAAAACTAACGGGCAGAAACCAAACCGAAAGGAAACAACGCTTCCCCGAAAACAGCTTTCCCCAAAGAAGGCTGACGCGATCGGCCCCTGCAGAGCGGGTCCGCTCTAGGGTCATACGGTGCTTTCTTTACAATAGATTCACGATTCCCCTTCCTTATATTACGCATATTCCCCCTCAGAATATTAGGTTAGTTAAAAATCCTAATTCGTAAATATGGCAATATCTATTCCGCACCCACACTACCACTGCCGTCAGTTAACCCAGTTAACCCTCGGGACCAACCGAGCTCCACCTCCCTAGGCACGCAGACCCCTGAACAATAGTAGTACCAACTCCTTTCTATTCAAAATTACCCTAATTTCTAACATTTAGCAGAACCTTCGCCCCTCTCACTTATCCCCGCATTACTTTACTCAAGGGCCTATTGTAGTGTCGTGCAGTACATGGTCAGTTCCGTGAGTTCACGTAGACGGAACGGCAGGGAAGTTAAAATTAGCATCTCCACCTGTCCGGTTGCCGTCCTTGGACATTTTTTGCGTTCTGCATTTCGTCTGTCACCAGTTTGATCAGTTGGTACCACGTAGGAAGTGTATCCGCGTAGAGGGGGCCCGGCCCACACCACATCCCCGTTGGTCGGACACTGTATGCTAGTCAGTGAGAGCCACGCGGCACGTGAACGGCTACTGCCCGCGCGGATACTGTTTCGCTGTGGTGAATGATCAAATTTCAATGATCACTCAATTCACATGTCCCCTGGAGGTTACTTTTGGCGCAGGATAGGCCCCGGGCAGTCACATATTCTAGACGCGAACTACTTCACAGGGAAGCATCACTATAAGCCCGAGGCGAACGAGCAGTCCGTTGCTGCGGATTCGTGACTGTCAGCCTGTGGGATGGAGGGAAGCTTCGCAAGCTGCAATTCAACTCAAGGTCTGACAGGTCGCGTTTGCTTTGCGTGCGTTCATCGCACGCTAGCTGCCCTGTGATGCGAATTGCTGTGTTAAAGCTTGCGTCTGCGGAGGCCCCGCAGTTCGGGAAGTTCGTGTTTTGTGGCTTTATTGACTTAGCGCCAACAAAAGGGCACACCGGCCGGCAGACGAATATGTTGCAGTTCGCCAGACAGTCAGCTAGCAACAAATTTGCTATCCGCGTAATATGAAGCAGGCAATGCATTCAAGCTTCCCACACCATCTGCTGCAAGCATCTAATTGTAGTGGGAATACTCTCCCTTAAGCTTCATTTGCGGCGTCTAGCACTTCCATTATAATGCCTCCTGTGCGGCCTTCATTACGGTGGCATGCCATTGTGCTGGCATGCGGATAGATAATTGCGGCCGCGATTTTATAGTAGAGGGCAAAAACTCTCCACTTGTAATTATATTAGCTAAATGCGCGACAGAGCCCCTTAGGTGAAATGCGGGAAACGCACTTTTTCTTTGCCGACAAATGAGGACCAACAAGTTGCTGCAGGGTACACCCAAACAGGTTGGCTCATAAGCCTGCCGTATTTGCTTGCACTTTCCATTAGTAGCTCTAAAAGCTACCCCACGTATGCGGGCTCGTCGCAGTCCGTCGGGCATCCCACATTCTCCTTGTGTGTTGCATGGCCTGGCAAGTTTGCCGCCCAGCATGCACGGCTAGTCAGTCTCACATACTTCTGTACTGGAGCTTTTCAACTGCCTCCCGGGGTCGTGAATCAGCAAAGTCCCCTCCAACGAACTAGAGCCGTTGTCTTCGAGTCATGTACACGCAATCTGCCTGTGGTGTCCACCATAGTTGATGCTAGCCCATTTGAACTCCAGCTCGAACGCAGCGAGCCGTCTTCTCTAAGCTGAAAAGCTACACGCGCAAAGAAAGAGGATATTTTCCTGCTCGTGGTCGCCCAATCGCCCAATATTTTGCAGTGGCAGTAGTTAATACTCAGCCACTTTGTCTAGCAAGTTTCTCGTAACCGTAGTGCTTATGTCGTGCCCGGCAGCCCTAGGTCACGCCTACTAGTAGTCGCGTAGTCCCTACTCCCTAAGTATAACCTTTGACTACCAAAATCCCCCTAAGTCTACAGCACGAATAACAAGTCACTTTAGGAACTCTGTAATAGTAATTCAAGTTCGTAGAATAAAAGAACTGCGTTCCGAATTGACCCCGGTCATGGGAGTATGAATGTTTTCTTCCTCGAGTATACCCAGGGGTTCATTTTGCAGACTCAAGCCTGCGCAAACTGTCTAACCAGCAAAACACCGACCACTGACTTCTTTAGGCCAAACCTACTCTCACATTTGTCGTAGGTCCTTGTACTGTTCGCTTCTTAGAACTGAATGGGAACCCTCGGGGGTCACATCAATGCGGATCGCCCGTGACGGGTGTTCTTGAACTACATAGCCTCCCACTTTACCGTCTGCCCTTATTTAGATATCCCACGTTGCCCGCTTGTTGGTTGACGACATCACATGGGTGCGACGCCCACTCTGCCCCTGCCTTCGTTCATGCGTTTCGTCCGTTTGGCAAACTGCTTAACCTCGTGCCCGTCACGAGCCTTTTGAGCCTGCAGGTGTTGACATGAGAAATGCAAAAATGCTACAAAGTGAAGCAAGCACTCATATACAAGTCAGCAGCAACAGTTCAGCTAGATGTCAGAGGCAAAAGCAGCTCACTGCGGATGGGCCAGGACTACTAGGATAAACGATCACTCCATTGCCGCACCTGTTGGCCATTCCTCTTGCGAAACTGATAATCGGGAATGTACCATGTGTATCGCTGACCAAACGCCGTCTTGCGGACAACGTCAGGGTCATCTGGATTCTCTTCTCTGCGAAAAAAATTCTCAAAACAGCCACTTGTATATCCCATGAGGAACTGTGTTACGGTTCCTCGTGCAAACACAAGCTGTTGACCTAGCATGCTGTGTGGAAGGCAAAGTTATTCGCTCTATCCCTAGACACTTCTAATGACGTAATAATGCTGGCACTGGCATCATAAGGTCAGGCACAAGTATTACACTCACGCTTCCTCCAGCAGTCCCTTCCGGAGCAGCTGACGTTTTGCTCGCTCTGTTGCCTCAATATTTTTTAGCTTTGTTCTGCGGCACAAGCGGCTCACCACAGTTTAAGTGCTGCTTTGCCAGACAGGACGTATCGGGAAGCGCACTCTCCAAGCACCGGCATGGGAGGGTGGGAGCAATATGTTCTGCTACAGTCAGGTAGCCTTACATAAAAATAGTGCATTTTCAGCAAGAACACAACAGATATGCACTCACTCCATGGGAAGTTCCACCTCTACAAGACCGGTGACCCAGTTCATCTGATCCTTGTACTCCTCGGTCTTGTCTGCAACCTGAAATTCCCACATGAGCCAGTACAACATTCAGAGATTAAGCAACAGACAGAGCGCCGGCAGAAGAAGATGCAGAAGCGCATTTGGGCCCGCGCAAATGCTAAGCGCAACCCTCGAGAAATTGGCTTGGCACACTGGAGGCAGACCTGCTCCAACTTGCTTTCAACGTTGTAATACTAAGCCGTTCTTCAAAAATTACCTTAAGGTGATCCGGAACAGCATACAAATCTCTCATCTTGTCTATCATGTCGTGTTCCCTAAGGGCCTGCTCCTCGCGGGTCTCGTGTTGCTTGTCTTTCATGCGCTCGCGCAAAAATTCTTCCCTGATTTACACACGCACAAAGAGGCAACAGCACCAGATAGCATAGTGCAAACCCACAACTGTTGCCTCGAGCACAAGGCCGTCTAGTGAAACTCCGCAGCCAGATATGTCCCAAACCCTAACAACGGACGCTCGATCATATGCTGCACTCCAACTAGCCGTACAAATGTTTATCGGCCACGGATCCCGGGCCTCCTGTAGCAAAGTTCTTTTCAAGGAGGCCCACGGCGTCTTCTGTCTCTTCATCATCCTTCCCTTGGTGCGTTTCCTCCAAGGCCAGACGGGCGTCTAGACCCTTTCGTGGACCTCCGCGCATGCGCTGTAGGTCCTTCATGCTCCTTACCACCTCCAATGTGTCATCTTCACTGTCAGAACCTCCCCGTTCATCAACTCTCGGTTCCTGAGAAGCTTCCATAGACGTGGTCTGAGTGGGGGGACAACGGCTCGGCAAAGCCGTTTCCTGCGCCATCCCTAGAGCTGCATCGGCATCTTCTAGGTCCTTCAGCCGCCTTAAAGAGTGGATTGGACGAACGTTCGAACGGAACAAGCTTCGAGGCAATCGAGAACTACCCCTAGGTGATGATTCTGCGTCAGTGAAGAGTGTGCGACAAGACTCTCCTCCTTCAGGAGACGGCGAAGCACCGTCATCAAGTGAGGCGGTGCCACCTTTCGTGGAAGCCATGGCAGCGTAGATCGCAGCTGCGTCTATACTGACAGTTGCGGGACCCCCCTGCCTCTGATGTGCCAGTTAGATGCAAAACAATATGGGCAGTCACCGGCGAAGGCAAAAAGATTCACTCCGTCACAGCAAAAAAAAACATAATGCAAGAACTACAGGAGACACTCATGGGCTCTTGAAGGGGTCTACTCGCCTGTGCCTTGAGTGGGCACGCTGAAAAGCCATTTGCACGCAGTTACGCATCAAGGCGTTCATAAACCGCATGCAGCTCGGGGGATGGAAGAAGCGATAAATGAGAAGCCAAAGATGCCAAGAGCTAAATAAAGTCTAGACAGAGGCGCATTCACTAAAAATGAAACACAGGTAGCCTTGCGTAAACGACAAGGGACGGGACAAATCACCAATGTCTAGAGGAACCCCGCAAAAAGAGGGCAGGGAGAGAATTAGCGTGAAAACAGTTGGTGAGCATCTCCAACAAGCTGCAAGATGTGTTGTTGAAGACTTGCAAACCATTGCACTACAGCCAGCTGCTGGCCCCGTGTGATGGGGCTGGAGTTGGCTGCTTCCGACGGAGGATTATCCTCTTTAAACAGATACAAAGCATATTGTGTCGGGTTTCAGTATCTGTGGAACACTAACTTAATAATCCCGGCTGACTGTTTTTACTGTACTTCACTTATTCACTTAAGTCTACACTTCACAAAGCGAAATAGATAATTAGGTTGCATGCCCCACCGGTGATAGCAAACGCCAATCTCGCGAGGTTCCCCCCCTTTCCACCAGACAGACTGCGAACAAAGTCTACGTGAAATTTTCAGTTCCAAAGCATATTTATTGTAATATGTAAAGGCAATGCCACTTTCCTGTGGAATTATTTGTATTATTTACTTAGGGTATCTCAACTCCTGGCATTGGCGAGGGTGGCGTGCAGGCAGGCCTCACTGCACGCACGAGTTCGAGCACACATCTCCTTCCGCTCAGATACAAAAGCGGGCTTTCTGTAAGACGAAAGAGTGGCGTATGCGAGTGTTATGAACTTGTTTTGGCAGAATGGCACATGTATTTTTGCCGCAGGCGCCCGGTGGTTCTGTCACGCGAGCCCGCTCCCTCATTCGAGGACCAGTGGGTGCCTCAATGGGGCCAAAACGGATAGGATGAGATATTCTTAAGTACAGCGGAAGTCATTCCTCAATCCCCAGGTGTCGTGGGCGAACCTGTTCATGCGTTTGGAACTGCGGGAGTGGTGGTTGCCCGAGCTGAGCCACAAGTCTACGCACCTTCTTGCAAATCACGCGGTAAGACAGCCGCAAATGCGAGCACAAGCAAGCCCTTTGGACCGTAGGTATGAACATTATAGACCATTGTTAAGCAGGGTTGCTCGTGTACAGTAAGTAACACCTTAAAAAACGCAACCCCAACCACATGCTATCCAACGCACCACCCACTGGGGAAGGATGTGGGTTCATTTGCGCACTTGAGACAGCCTTGCCACCAATACGCAATTATGCTTCAATCACGAATTAGTGGAAGTACTAGTGACCATATGCGAAAGCCTCTTAACAGCTTTCTTTATTCATAGTTGTAGTTCAGTTGTCAGGGGAAGCATGTAGTTACAGGCACAATTTCCCTCTACAAATGGAAGCCTGTGAAGGCAGAAGTCGTAGGAGACTGGGAGTTCGATCGTATCAGTCCCACCCAATTCAGGTGATCGTTTGGGTGCACTGTAGGCGTACCTTTAAGATTCTAGCCAGTGAGGTGTTGGAAGTCGGCCCTGTCGGCCTGAACTATTCGGGAAGTGTACTGCATAGCAAAACCAGAGGCGCTTACGTTTGCGTAGGGCTTGTACACCGTTTAACTCCATTGGCAAAGCAAGTTCACGGCGAAATTGATGATCTACGGGGGTCTTTTGTTGGCGCTTACAAAGACAATCCAAAACGTCTCATGGAAATAAGCAGTTACATTTGCGAACGGTTGCAAGGAAATGCAATTCCTAAACCCAGCGCTTTTTGCCACGAAATGCTTGTCGCTTGCTTGCTTCTTCCTCTAGAACCCCTTACATCCGTAACGGCGGCCCGCTAGAGTTCATTTTCCTTGCCGCCCAAATCGATGACTACCCATCGGCAGCTCTTGCTGCGTGGTGTATTGCAAAGGCGCCCTACGGTAGTGAGTCTAGCTACACGAAGTGGCCTATATTGCAAAGCTGCGTGCTTCGTATCAGGCCGCAACTGACTCTGACACTTGCTATGAAATTCGTGCTGGTAAGGGCCAAAGGGTCAAGTATATGAATTTTCCACAGAATTCCGGTCTTTCCACTCGGAGAAAATATCATGTGTACAAATGCTAGTCTCATTCGTAAATTGGAATGCAGCGTGCCACATGAAGTCGATCCCCGCACAGATTAAAGGGCGCCCAATCTATTGTGCTCTACAATGTATAGTGCGCTTCTCGCTGTGTTTTCGGGACCACCCGCCTGCCCTCCTACGTCATTTCCCAACTTGTTCAATTGGGCTGGATGACTGCGTGTTCGTCTGTTAGGCGTGATTGTCATTAAGGTCAACAGGCTTTCCCTGTTGACCGTAATGTCCCCACAACGAAGTCCTCAAACTACACATATAAAGTGCATGAAAGGCATGGAAAATATGAAAATCTGAAGAGCTCAAGCCAATAAAACCATGAGGATGCGACACCACTGCAGAATGGGTGGGCTTCACGTTATAGGGAGTGGGCACATGATGCATGCCGACCCACATTCCCCAACGTCCCAGCTACTGTTTGGAGTTGTATGCCGCGTTCCCTGCACTCTACACTTCGCAAGCATCGCTGGCGTTGCACATGAACTCACGACGGTTTATTCAAGTAAGGATTAGTCCGGATCCCCATATAAGATGTCTTCGAGTGTGATAACGCTTCTGAGAAGCTCAGCCAGCACGGCACGTGCCCGTTCAGGTTCTGGATGCTGAGGAATGCTTTGTCCCCCGGTTCTGTGTTTCCACGTTGATTGCTTAGGTGAAGTTTGGCGGACCGAATCACTTAAGGCTTGTGGCCAGGGAGTTGGAGCCGCCTGGCCAGGGAGGGGTCGGTCTCTATAGAGAGGATCTATGGTTGGCCGCATGCCCAACGGTCCTCCCACTGCAGCGTTTCCCGACTGCTGGGAATGCCACAGACTAATATCACCATAACCAAAGTAACGCGCAGGGGTTGCATAGGCTTTGGCGCCTTCAAACGTATAAGGTCGGCTTGGAGCCACCGTTCCGCGTAAATTCGGTGTGTCCCATTGAATCTGTGGAGGCGTGCCCTTGCTACCATCTGCTGGAGTGCGCACCCAGATCACTGAAGAGCCAAGTACCGCTGAAGCAAAAGCGGGTGACCGGTGCTTGTGAGGTTGATGGTTAATGGCATAATACGAATGGGGAAGAAACGCTGGGTAAGAACCCTGTACTGGCAGTGTTTCAAGCTGCCAGGCTACAGACTGAGGAGATGCTGGAGATGTTAACCGAGGGGCTCCCTGCATCTCCTGGGAGGGTGCTGGGCCTCCACTAACACGGGAAGGCTGGTATTCCACCGGGGTTTTTCTGTTCCCATGCCCTTGAGTAATTGTTCCTCTTGGCTGCCCATTGAGGGTTGCAGAAATTTGTGAACCCAACGCAGTACCGGCAAGCGTACGTTGGGCGGCCGACTGCGTTAGTGGAAGGTGGAGCAGACCACCTGCTTTCCTAACGGAGTCAGCGATGTCCCATAGCACTTGTTTTAACGATGGTAGAGACTGATCGGCGAGTTCTTGGTGTTGGGGCCCAAGAAGCAGCTCTGCGCCCATCCTGTTCTGACAGTTGCGGAGGTGGTATCTGTGATACGTGTCCATGGCAATATAACGAGAGTGAATGTCGAAAACTACCTTGAGAACGCCTAGCTGTTGGTTGAAGACATGCTCTGGCATACAACCAGAGGGGTTTTCGCACATTCTGGAGAGTCCCGCTAAGACAAGCGAGCAAACCTTTACTGTCATGCCGGCAGTCCGAATCAGAGACCTCATCCTCTTCATGCGTGCAAGAGGCGAAGTTTTGGGGGGAGTCTGCCGAGGAATTTTGAGCGCTTTAATCAAATCAATCAGAGAATGGACTTCCCAGAACAGGCTTTGAACTTCCCGGACCTCCTCAGAGTGCCGAAGCGCGCATGACCCTAGCACCGCAAGTGTGTCACTGAGGGACGATCGAAAAGGCTCGAAATCTTTTGGGATTACTGAAATAGCGCCCAAGTTTAGCGCTAGCAATCGCATCACTGAATGTGCCAGGCGCAGACCTTGGCCTGCCGGCAGCACTTGCAGCAGTTTTCGGCAGGCCGTTATAGCCTCCATCATCCGTTTGAATAAAGTCTCAACCTGTTTCGCAGCATACGAGGGCAGTTTGCGTCCCTCCCACAGATCCTGCTCCCCATTGAGCCAATACTGCAAATTGGACCCCAGCCGATTTCCGTGTTCTTGACTTCCCTCTGCACTTTCCTCTGCAAAAAGTGACTCCATAAGTTCTTCTTCGCCACGTCGGCTCACGCCTTGACCCCAAGGATGCCATGCAAGGCCTCGGCCTCTACTAGGCAAGTTTCTGCGCTGCTCATGCTCTCCAGCTGAAACATCCTTTGGTGAAACATCACCTTGTCCCGCCATTGAACTCCGTGCATGAAGTCCTCCGTGTGCGCTAGAACTTGTAGATGCATGCCTTGATTGCCACTCTGGCATGTACAGTGACTCCAATCTTGGTTCACCGGAAGCAACTCCGCCGACCTGGCCCTGCACGCCACCTCCTCCAAGGCCATCAGCCCGCCACAATCCCCCCTCCCCCTTATCTAGAATGTTGCCCCCCTCACACGTTCGACGACCTTCACTTGCAAGCGATCTAGGCGTCCCTACCACCACATTTCTTTCCTTTACCAACACAAAGCACCGCAACAGAAAGTAGGCAGTAGCCAAGGAGGAGAAAGTAATGCCTAGAAGACGGATCCATGAAGAAGACGTATTCCTACCATCTCGAGGACGTTGGAGGCAGTGATTTCCTCCAACACAGAGGTGGGGCGCTTTGTGTTCCTTGCTTGAAGGGATCCTGTGAGCAATGCTGTCAACATATGACACCTCGGAAACGTGTTGATGTTCTTGGGAATTCATTTGATGAAGATACAGCTAGCAGACCCTTGTAATTCGAATTATTAATTTGCTATTAGGTGATTTGTCCGCTATCTGTGGCTTGTTTAGTCACAGTATTGGATAGCATGCCGTGCAATATCAACGTCCATACACCCGCTGCCAGGCACACTTGCACGTGGTAAGCATTTCTACTGGAATATTCCCCAGCAGACTGAGTTTCGACATCCTGAAGAGTTACGAAAGGTCTGGGGAGTTTCTGCTGCTGTCACGTGGAAAACATTGGAGAGACAGAAAGAGTCGCAACAAATGCTTGGGAGAGCCACGTCTCGACAGTGCCGGCGCACGTTGCTCTGCACGAACCGGGACACAGCGAGCCAAAAAAAGGGTTTGTGCGGCAGTGATGCTGCATAAATATTTTGTTTTGGAATTTTCAAAGCATATTTCCTTATATAACGCAATTACAGGAGGGGATCACCACCCTACCGGACACTCGTCCTCCCTGTCTTGGTGCGAGGTCGCGACGATGCAGCTTGATGCACACGCATGCAAAACTCAAGTGCCATCGAAGAGGCTGCCCTTCAATATTGCTTAATCTAACAAATGGTGAGTCAAATGATGAGTGCCGGAGTAGTAGTCTTCACGAAATGGGGCGAGGTTCTGCGAGGGTCCCCTGATGTCGTGTACGTCGCCACGCATCGGGCAAGGGTTCCAAGGTGTTCAACTGCGGCAACAATTGTAAACCTTCACAACCGCAGTTCAACCTAGAAATCCAGGCCAATTGTTTTTACTGTACTTCTCTTATTCACTTAAACTTACACTTCACAAAGCGAAATAGATAATTAGGTTGCATGCCCCACCGGTGATAGCAATCTCGCGAGGTTCCCCCCCTTTCCACCAGACAGACTGCGAACAAAGTCTACGTGAAATTTTCAGTTCCAAAGCATATTTATTGTAATATGTAAAGGCAACGCCACTTTCCTGTGGAATTATTTGTATTATTTATTTTGGGTATCTCAACTCCTGGCATTGGCGACGGTGGCGTGCAGGAAGGCCTCACTGCACGCACGAGTTCGAGCACACATCTCCTTCCGCTCAGATACAAAAGCGGGCTTTCTGTAAGACGAAAGAGTGGCGTATGCGAGTGTTATGAACTTGTTTTGGCAGAATGGCACATGTATTTTTGCCGCAGGCGCCCGGTGGTTCTGTCACGCGAGCCCGCTCCCTCATCCGAGGACCAGTGGGTGCCTCAATGGGGCCAAAACGGATAGGATGAGATATTCTTAAGTACAGCGGAAGTCATTCCTCAATCCCCAGGTGTCGTGGGCGAACCTGTTCATGCGTTTGGAACTGCGGGAGAGCTGGCTGCCTGCATCTCCGAGTAAGGAGTGAACTACATGGACCACAACTTTGCTGCCTCTTGGATGGTAACGTTTGGGAGTATGTTGGTGATCCCATTGACCGTTTCTGGTCACCTGCATTGATTCTATGATGATAGCTCGACGTTGAGGGTTCCTCGACGGCGTCAGACAACGCATTGGCCCCAGAACGAAGAATAACAAGTCCTTTTCAACGTACTACTAACTCCTGCGGCTGCTCGCCCTCCTGCGGGCTTTGGCGGGCATGATAATCCACCGAACTTAGTCGCCTGCGTTGGAATTATATGATGAACAACGTATGTCTCCCACTAGTTGCTTTCCTGCACCCCTGGACTACACTGAGACAGCACTAGCTAACCCGACGACCGATCAGAATGTCGGAAACCAGCTCATCACGTCTACAGTCAGGGATAAAAACTGACTGTAGACGTGATGGGGTGGTTTCTGACATTCTGATCTGTCGTCGGGCTAGCTATTGCTGTCTCTGTGTAGTCCAGGGATGCAGGAAGCAACTAATGGGAGAGTATTGTGTTGTATTGTAAACCAACTTCGCACAAGTTAGGAAGTGAAGCCACGTTGGGGAATTTTGCATGGTATAAGTCACAGGCACAAAACTAGCTCACGGGGGCGATCATTGACCGTCAGCATCCAGGTGGTGAGGTGCGGTCATTTTATGCTCGACATTAAGATGATCCATAAAGTTGTGATAAGGGGTGCCAAGAAACCTTAGATCCCACACAGTGGTTATAGTTTTCGGAAAGGCAACAGGCTTCCAGTTTTGATAAAATGATTAGTTTGGCTGTTCCCTCTGAGGTAACCGAGCTAGGACAGGGGATAAAACGCACATTGTGAGGCTGATTGGGAAATGGGGCATCTTACATGATACGATACATTTACGATGGACAAGCTCACCATGATTTAGACATAGAAGTGCCGCTAGTGCCCAAGTCGATTGCACAGACGCACGGGCCACCTCCCGCCGTTCTGGTTGCTTGTGCTGCTTATACCAGGGTGCCTGGAGATTAGGGAGAGAGGGCAGTAGCTTTTTAAGACCTCCCATCATAAGTATTTTGGCTGTATTGCAACTCACCATAGGGCAGGACCCTCATCACAATTATGCCACGTTAAACCGCTCCAATATGAAACTTCCGTAGCATTGTAAAGCCACTTATTTCCACATTGAGCTCGGCTCTTCTGCCGTAGTTGAGTAGACCCATGTATCGTGTTTGTCATCAGCGAAGCGCTGCCGCAGAGACTGTGCCATATAGTGGATTGACATTGTGGACTACCTCGCCGTACTTCCAGGTATTCAATCCATTTATCAACTTGCATCAAACGTCTCTAGAAAATACTGAGCATTACTACCTACTTTAATATGCACAAACATAACGCGAGGGAGATATGCAGCCGCGGCTATCATCAGCTAGTTCTGTGCCAAACGTTATCTGGGGGGCAGATCGCTTCTTACGGTGACGGCGCTGCTCGATCGTCTTGCTTATCCACTCTCTACGCCATTTTTCAAGCAAATCAACCTAATCAACTTAAGCCCCGATGAACAGGATGGACCATCCAATTCATCGGGGCTTACACTGCTATTTGTAAGAATACTCGATTTTAACCGAATACAGTCGCGCAATGCAATCAACGTACCCGTTTGCAAAACAGCTAACTCCCATAAAGTATTGAGGAGTGATGGGCATAGAGACCGAAGGGCATGATAGATGCCGAGAGGATGTTGCCTGACTTTGGTTGCAGCACATACTGCTGCAACTCTGGGAGACACTCGAGACCAACCCGCCAACAGTTGTATCTCAAACCCTCATGCAAACGAACCCAAGCCACTGTGACTACATGGATTAGCACTGTGGACTATTGTTAATCGCTTAGTTGTCCTTCAGGTGCAATCGTGCATACAGAATGGGAGTCTGCACTGCTCCTTGGATGCATGCAAGTGCAGGGGAATGTACAAGCCCCAGAGGCACGAAGCAGCAACAATACAGCCTTAAATGCCTACATCATTTATTATGCGCTGGTTGGGGTTCCAAAAAAACTCCATGCACACATGCAGGCACGCGCGACCATCGTTGTAGAAGTGATCGGGGCAACCCCATACATGACGTCGCTAGTCAAGGCTCCGGTGCACTCTAGACTGCTTCACTGCATATCATTTCCACTAGAAAGAGTTGTACATGCCTGATAAAGCTCATCAATAAAGCATGCATGGGGGGAACCTCTGCTGAACGAAAGTTTCAAATAGGGAACCACTGCCGTGGGCAACGACTCTGTGGGACAGTGCCGATGGAGCCCCGGGGGGTGGAGGGGGGACAGCATCCCGGTCGAGGTGCTCCGTGGTGGGCTATTGGTGTTTAAATAGTAGATATTAAAGACTTTGAAAAGACCGGGACTTTTGTTGAGCATAGGTGCAATATCGGAGGCGATTCAAGGGGTTGGCAATGAATCAACCTGTTCCACCTTCTGTATTACTTGATCGCAGAAGGCGACTTCTACCGAATCCGCAGATTACCTTCACCAGCCCCTACGGCATATCACATTGCTAATTTACGATTACAAGACGTGTTGTATACATTTCGAATCAAACCGGCAGCTGATTGCCTTCGGCCGAGCTCACTGTCTTCTTGTCGTGGATTCCACAGACCGAATGTTCACGAGACGGTGGGTTCGGCTCCAGGACGCGTGAAACGACTTCCTTCTTTGTGTGGCATATAGCTATATATGTTTCTGCAGTCCTGAAAACTTCTGGGAGTACCCACTAGTGTGGGCGCTCTTGCAGAGTCTGCCCGCGTACATGAGAGGGAGTGTGCCGACTGTCGGCACGAATGGCTTGAATTGATGCGATGGAATCACTTCTTGCAGATCGGCTTTCTGTTGCTAGGTCCAGTGACGTGGGGGAAGATGGTAAACTTCTGGATTCCAATACCCTACAGGGAAGGCACACTGCAGCGATTGATGGGAGGATTGCCTTGCCGTTGAAACCCCTGAGGAGCACACGATTCCCGCCTTCACTTATCAATCTACTTGCTGCGACCATCACCTCTTTGGCAGTGGCATATTTGCTCCTTCGTTGTTTCGAGAGGAATACTCTCAGCCACGGCACCACACTCAGGTTGTTATCTTTCAGCAGATATCGTTCAGAAGACGAATGTGTATGGATCGATGAACCAGATAGCGATGACGAAGCAGAAGAGGAAGTGGAAAGTGCCTTACCAGCTGATCTGGAGTTATTACCCGCTTTCCCTGGGACTTCGGCTGTGTTGTATCCACCAGAACCCGGTTCCGCTGGCGGCGTGTGGTTGGGAGTGCCTTTGAGAGCAGGAGGAGCAGAGGGAGGGTATACTGGAAGAGTGCAAGGGATGACAGAAGATTTAGAGCAATTGGAGGCAGATGGATGGCCGAGGTTGGCGGACAAGTCCTCTGTCAATCCCGACGGCATAGGCTTTCAACATTCAGATACCATTCAAGCTGAAGCAGCCAAGTACGACCCCTGGAAAGACCGCAACATTCCAGCCGACGTTGCAGAGCAACTAAAAAGGCTCCTATGTAAATTACGCTCCTTTTCTTCTATTTGCCGCGATCTCCTGAATCGTATGAATTCTCGTCCAATGATGCGGTTTACAGCTGCATTAATGAAAGTGCTGACCATGCAGCTAGGTGTCATTTCGCTTGTCCCAAGCTCCATTGAGCACCTACGGATGGAGGCTGGCGAGGCCTTGATTAAATTAGGCACTGAAGCTGTGCAGCTTGCCGGCAATGACCCCTTGGTGAGTCGTCACAGGGAGGCTGTACAGGACTTGATGTTGATGACGAAGACTGTAATGTACCCGCGAGAGGTTGGCGAGGGTTTGGCCCCCAAAAAGTTCAAGAGCAAGATCCTTGGAATGTTGGGCTTCAGTTCGGTCGTAAGCTGGTACACCATGGGGATCGTCTTGGGTATGTTGTTTCGCCTAAATGAATCAGGGGGCTACCTGACGGATGCATTCGTAGAGCAGCAAGCAAAGCTACTAAGTATTTTACAGGCACATCAGCTTGCTCGTGTCGTTCCCGACTGTGGTGTACGGTGGTATATTGAGAAATCTCAGGTTAAAATAAGTAAAGCGATTTTCTTTACTCGTGACCAGTCCTATCAGAGCAACAGCCTGCCTATTCCGACAACCGCTGACTTCTCCAGCAGCCTTGAGCGTGATATAAAAGCGGCCGGTGATCTTTCATACAAGCCAACCTTTGGCCTGAAATACATAGATGCCGGAAGAGGTATAGGTGTCAGTGATGGTGCTTCTCCCAAAGTTGAGATACTCAGTCCCGGTAACCGTGCTATTGGCAAAGTGCATGTACCGTCGTCTACTGCCACAGGTGTTGGACAGGAGGGCTTGCGTGGAACGATAGCAACCTTTCCTGGATCCTCGGGAGACGCATCTAGCCAAGCTACTTTAGTATTCCAGGGCTCGGCAGGTATGGAAACATTGCTAGGGAGTTGGCATTCCCCAAGGACACAACCTCAATTTCACTCCGGTCCTGCGTATGGTCAACAACAGCAAGGGACAATCCAGCATTTACCACACTTGCACGCCAGCCCCCACAAACCAGGAGGCCCACAGCCACACGGACCCCAGCCGGAGTCGCAGGCACACCACAATGCCCATCATATTCTTCGGCCACCCGTTGGTAGTGGGATTCCTTTCAGGCATTTTCAGGATAAAACAGCCAGAGGTAAACCTACATGGGATCCTTCTCCAACAGAAGACTCCACGGGTATGCGTGCAAGTAGTCCTACTCCCCCGAGAGTAGAAGTGCAGCCTCCGTCTCCAGCAGTTTTGCGCATTCCTCCGTCATACCCTTGGGAGCCCCTCAGAAGCGAACAAGGAAGAAGCAACCCCCTTCAACTGGTATCGCAGGCAGCTTTGTCTTCACCTCATGGGTTCCAGGGTGGTCCAGAAACTCCTTTGGGGTACCACGACGATCCAATGGGTGCGGCCACACGCGCACCACATTCTTTTCTCCATCCTGTTGTCGAATCTAGTGCAAGGCATATGAAAGATGGTCTCCAGCACCGGCCAGCGACATCAATGGTATTACCAGGAGCGCCTGGTCCTGTTCAAGCCCAGCCAGTTTCTGTCGGGCTTGCAGGATGGGGGCACCATCCTCTCCCGCAAGGTCAGCGACATTTTCGGCCGTCTTCAGTACCAGATGATCCATATGACGGCATAAGACACGGAGGGATATTAACCGAACATCCGCTAATGGCACCTGGACTTGAAGGCAATCTTCAAGCTGCTATGACGGGTCTGATCTTGCCGCCGCAAACGGGGGCAGGCAGCTCACATCTATCGCCACAAAGCTTTTCAGCTGGTCCTCCTAACGCAGGCATTCAGCCTCCCGTGTCGTTTTTCCTCCAATATACGCCTGGCCCCTACTCCATGCCTCCGTTTGCAAGTTCTTCTCTAATGGCTTCCCCACAACGTAGCGGCACTGGTCCGCAGTTTTCACTACAGCCACCCAGATTTCCTGCAGCTGTCTTACCGAGTACATCGGAGCAAGCTGGGATATCGAGCGGATTGGGCATCGCAGGAATCATCAGTAACGCTGGAAGGGGAAGGCCCCCATTCAACCCGTCCTTAATGGGATTTGCCGGCTCGTCTTACGGGCCACCGCGTACAGCCATGCCACCAGCTTTTCAACATGGAGTCGAGGAGGGAATGGAGCAGATGGAAGAAATTCAGCAAGCGGTGGAGGCAATGGATCCTTTCAAGGATGACTAAGCTTAGGAAGTAACCTGAGTGAGTGGCCCTACTACACACGAACGGCTGGTGGCAGTTCCTTATTTGAAACTCCGCTGCTGGTGAATGCTGATGATACAAAGCGTAGACCACCATCTACTTCACGCAGACAGTCTGCCTGAAACGTGTGGAGTAAAGGATAGTTCGGGGGAGCAACGCGCATACGACATAAAACACGACCCCACGTCGTAGACACTCGCGCATGTAAGCTGCCACTTTAATGCTACCCTTTTGCATGTGGTTGTAATCACCGGTCGTTTCATTTCTTGTACTGCCGGTAGCAGGCACAAACCACAAACTCGCCTTTCGGCTTGGGATTTTGTTACAAGATTAAATAAGGGAGAAGCGTCCCTTAGAACACATCGATTAGAGGGCAACTACCTCGCGCAAAAGTCGACTACCAACGCAACAATTGCGCTACTGCTTTTCACCACCAGTTACCCCAGAAATCATTGCCTGTACTTACGAATGCCTAAGTTGTATTAGTTCCTTCCAATTGTTCCTCCTGTATGTTGTGTGCATAGCAGTAGCTGTGCACTTCTCCGAGTCCCTGCTCTCCCCCGTGGGAAGGCACTTATTAAAGCTTGTTAAAATCCAAACCCTGGAAGCAGGGGATGCACCAGTATCTTGATCAGCTTTCCATTATGCAGCTACTGTAGGGGTTGCACCAGGCCGCAGAGGCTCCGCAGCAAGTACTTCCTTCTGCTCTTGGGGGAGGGAGTAGTTCTGTACTATGTTCACTACGTCCAGTTTCTTCCGTTGGCGATATCCTTAAACCACTAGAGATAATATACATCACAGCAAACGAAAATATATAGCATATGATGGCAGCGACTAGTGTAACTGCTGCAGTGCCGATGAGCCGCGGATTATTCGCTATGTCATCCAGAAGATAAACATTCCAGCAAAGGTTTCTCGCACAGATAGAGCCAGGGCATGATCAGAATAAAGGGGCACACCCGCAGCCTGAGCAGCTCCTCAACGGCAGACAGGAAGAGAAACGACGCAGCCAGTAGCGGCAGTCCGTGATTCAGAAATTGAAATCAACGCTGAAGGCAGTGAAGATAGCACAGAGAATCCAAGATGAAACAGACAACGAAAGGACGGCCAAAGGAAGCAAGGAGAGGAAGGATGAGCGAGGAAAAAAGAACAAACATTTACACCACTCAGCTCACAAAAAGGAACCATGGTGCCGTCGGGATGTATTGCCTCCTGCTGTCTGTCTGTATCTGTGCTCTTTCGGTGGCTCTTTTCGACCTGCTTTAGCCGGTCTCCTGCTTTGCCTCTTACTGCATTGCTTGTTCATTGCTGCTCCGTTAGCTTTTGTCCTATACAGAATTTGCCCTTGTCGCCTCGTACAAGACTTAGCGTGCGGGCGCGCCTTCCTGTGAGTGAGGTAGCTTTGCAGGGTTTGCTGTGTGGCTGCATCTCATATTTGCCGTTTTCCCGAAGGTGTGCGCTGGTGTGTCCGCTAAATTGAGCACAACTGTGCCTGCGGAGGGATTCGTCCATTTCTTGCAACCGCCCAGAGCAGAACTTCTGCCTGTTCGCCTTCATCCATCTGTCCATGCACTGTCCGTCTACTGGCTACTTTTGGGTCTCCCCGCCTTGGGTAAATCCCACAGACGCTGTCGTGCTGTGCAGAATCTGCCCACGGCTTGCCAAGCGCGGGTGTCCCATAGTTTTAACCTGCAGGTGCAAACCTACTATTTTACGTATGCTGGAAAAGCACAGCTAAAAGCGTTAATAGGCCACATCGGCGTATTGTTGCCGCGCCACGCTCTTCCCAAACGGGCACAGAGCAGAGCACCACAACTGTGCAGATAGGCGAATACTGGTCGTATACCAAGTGCATTTGGGGCAATTCCTTGGTAATGCCAAGTTAGCTGCAGGCGAAGTTCTGCCCAATGCACGTGACACCTGGGTAAGGGAAATTGGTAAAGCCTACAGCTTACTTTCCGGGTCATTAATCCACGTCCAGCCTACCCTTTTGATTAGTGTATCCACAAGAGGACCACAACTGAAGAGTGATAGAAATGTCGGGGCACAACTAGCTTTCAGCATTTCGGGTGCCACATGCTACCGATGACCAACTTTAAACTGTAGTTCATTGTAAAAGGCACGCAGCCTACATTGTGGTTCACTGATCTTTATGTGCTCCCCCCTTGTACCACTGGGAAGTAGTTGATATACGTATTTGGCACTTCTGTCTCTCTGGTAATCCATCGAAGTTGCACAGGGCAGATTCGCCTCCTCCAGTTAACGGGTTGTTAACGAACACTCAATGCACAATGCAGGGATGCGCAGGGATGCCACAGCCCGCGGCCCTCTCACACCTCCAGTGATCAAGTCCCATCCACCATTCGGCAGTCATTCCAGTTCACTGCAACCTCTTGTTGCTAGAGGTGGAGCTTGCTTGGTCCCGTTTGTAACGAAGTATATAAAGGAGCCGAGATCCCAGAGCCTCATGAGCACAAAGGGAGGACGCGCAGTCGTCATTTTTGGTGCTTTATGATATACAGCACCATGAAATGCGAACGAATATACCACTCACTGTCATGTAAAGAATTCCACAGTTCAAGGTGTTCCTTGGCTCTTCATGGGCGAGCACAGTCCCCAACGAGTTCAGGAATATGGAGGCTCCGCAAAGCAACTGGAATTCAAACTTAGGGCACGAGTTGATTAGTGTCGATGGAGCAGGCGCAGCTCCTCCGTCTAACTTGGGGCAAACGGGGCTGACAGAGGCCTACCGCGACTCTAGTTTTCTGCAGGCCTGCTAATCTTTAGAGCCCGCTGCAAAGTTATCGTCTTAATCGGGTTTACAAAGTACTGGGTGTCTGCTGAGATTGTGTATACCCGAGCGCCACGCTGTAGGCGGGAGTTGTAGAGCGCGGCCGTCCTAGGTCGTGTCTACTTGGCCATGACGGAATACCCTACTCCATAAGTACAACCCTTAACTACCAAGATCCCCAGAAACCTACGCCGCGGATACCAAATCATTTCAGAGTGTCTGTGATAATAATGCGAGTTCGTAGGGCAAAAGAACTGTGTTCCGAATGGACCCCGGTCCTGGCTGGGTGTCAGTGCCCAAGCTCCAGGGTGGCAGGAGGAATATCAACGGTGGCGGAACGGGCAGGAGCCTGACCTACAGCTCCAGTAAAGTCGTAATTATAGACAAAATACACATATACAGTAATAATTCTATTACCTATCCAATTTGATCTTTAAAGGAGCCTACCTGGTACCCGAGAGGTGGAATGCCTGCCGGCGGGGGTAATACTAACCTATGGCTCTATCTATGGTACTCGATTCTTAGAACCTCCAGCAGTATTAATTCCTTTTCTTAGTTTGTAATTTGATAATCCTTCTTTTTATGGCCACTAAGCTTCTAGAAACCTTACCAGAGCCCTATTGTAGTGCCTGTGCACTACAGGAGTTGTAATCACGGACTCACTGCAGCAGCAAAGGTTTTACAAGACCGTGCATGCAGGTGGGTGTCCATTGCAAGCCAAGGTACTTACTTCCGCCTCAATACAGCCACTCTGTCAAATATGCTGTGACTTGAAGATATAGAAACGCTAACTCTGTATCAGGGAGCCGCCGTTAACGCCCACTGCGTGGCCGAAGCTTTGGGGACCCTTCGGAACAGCTCCATTAGCCCCACTGCCTTCTACCTTCCGTCTGGTTTCCCGGTAGGTTTTACACCTAATAGGTCCAAATTATCGATGATAGCATTCTCCCAGCATCGGCCGGAGGAAGTCGCGTCCTGTGGTGATCTCCGGTTCGCCCCACTGCTCGGTTCTGTTTGGTTTTCAGGTAGGTGTTGCAATAGACAGATCCAATTTATCGGTGATATCATTCTCCAGTATTGACAGGAGGGGGTGAGAGCCTTTCATTCCAATGCAAGTCTGGTTTCCTGCGTGTCATTCGGAGCGTTGAGTGGGTTGCTGTACTCACCCTTTGCCAGCCTCTCGGCACATTCTGGTTCTCCTGCCTCATTTAATTGATGCATTTAAAATCCCATGGGTCGGGATGGCGCCGCTAGAGGCAACTAAACGACGGATTGACCCTGAAGGGGGAAAGGGCGTCATCCCTGTGGAGTTTGACGAAGGAACTTCACCAGCGCAAGAAAGACGCGATCGACTCTTGAATCCGCTGTCTCCCTCACCCAGTCCCCACTTCAATGGAGCACTACAGCAGTGCGTTTACCCTCATATCTTGTCATTTAACACATTTGCGGACTGTTATGTGGAAGAAATGGTCAAAGACCTACCGTTTATCTTCGTGGATCCCTACTTTGACCCAGATCGACATGAAGCCAATCCTTACTACAAACCACTTGACTGTAGGATTTCCACAAAACAGCCTTCCGCCTGCAGAACAACCCTTAGATAGTGAAAGTCGCACGTGTGTGAGTCACAAACCACCATGGGCACTTTCTAATATACTGGATGTTCAGCAGTTCAGCACTTTATTTGTTTATCCAGCTGCAGTGATGTGAAGCACTCGATGCATGTGCGTTCGTGTTGGGGACAGATCTAAAACTGGGAATCGCAGAGGCTGTCCTTGGCTTTCCGCATAAAGTTGGCATGGGCGACCTCCAGGCAAATTCACACAACAGCAACAGACTGCTCCCTCGTCACTGCCGAGAGTCGCACATCTCCTATGGGGCCCCTCTTCATGTCAGCTTTGTCTGCTGGAGAACTGGAGACGAAAACAGCGTGGCATTCAAGAAGACTATGGTAGTTGGGCATGTGCCAGTTATGGTAAAGAGCAACCGCTGCAGTTTGTCAGGTGAGCTGCATGCACATAAAGTCATTGCTTAATTCTACAGACAGTGGCGAAAGGCCCAGTTCATCAACTCCTCTTCGTAAAAAGGCCTGAGGGCCACTTCGTCAATTGCAAAAGGTCCAAGCAGAAACACCCAGCCCAGCGGATTCCCCTGTGTGAGTCTCGCTTTGTCTACGCGTCTTGCCCCGTCCCCTCAGGCATGAGCCCAACCGAGATGGTAAAAGCTGGAGAGGACTTGGATGAACTAGGCGGCTACTTCATTATTAACGGCAACGAACGCGTGTTGCGCTTCGTTATTCAGCAGAAGACAAACTATCCTATTGCTCTCAAAAGAGAGAGCTTTAGGAACCGCGAGATCTTCGCCACTGATCTTGCAATTCTTCTAAGGAGCCAGAGGCAAGCTACAGTCCACTCTCCTGGATTATTGTCGTTGCCGTTTAAAGACACACAACGGGCTTTTGAATGATTGGAGGTTCAGCGGCGACCCATCTATTCTCTTTATATGAGTCGGGGAGTCGCTGTGCTGATGCCGTCTCCTTGCAGTATGCTATGCAATTTTCTGCAATTCTTGCAGACTTGATGGAACGTGCACATCCAACATTCTGCTTGATACGGAAGATGGGAGGTGCTGCTACCGTATTTTGCTTAATCGGCAGGAGCACTTCTGTCCATTTCTCCTGTTGCTGCGATGCGTGGGTGGGGGGCTGTCATTACAACAGTTCAAGCTCAAGTTCATGGAGGGGTCATGGAGTGACGTTACAGAAGCTACACAGTTGCATGCGCTATTTGAAGAAGCTTGGGGGAATGAGAAGGACTTTGTTGATACAGATATTACGGAGCATAGGGTAGGCAGCGGTTCATCTCATTGGCGAGCACGACAGTCCAGACCAGATGGAACCAGGAAGGATTCATCCACGAGGTTATAGTGATGCCCTTTCCCTTGTTTGTTGCTGAGTACAGCCATTGCATCAGCTTGGCCAAGTGTTCTGGAGAGGCGTAGCTTGGCTGCTGCCTCCTGGGAGTACCTATGAAGACGCCGGGAGGTTCATCATCGATCGGTACGTGCTCGTCCATGTAAAGGATTGGGCCAGTAAGTTTGAGACGCTCCTGTTGATGTTTCGGAAGCTACGACAGCTGCGGGCGGGGAAGATACCGGTAAGCTGTTGGTTAGTTCAGCAGCAAGTTGGGATGCTATGTAACTTCTGCAATCGTATTTCGCATTCCTGGGTCAGGTACACCGGTGATTTGATTTGATTTGATTTGATTTGATTGCTTGTGATGCTTGCAGCCGGAGAGTATGGATGCTTTCGCGTATCAAGAGGTAGTACTTCCTGGACAGATCCTCGCATCAGTACTGAAGGATGCACTTTTCGCTGCATTGATCAAGCTCCGCACGCAGTACACGGTAGTACGTAGCCACATGCACAATGGTGGATGCTGCTCCGAATCAGTTGATTGCTTGCCAATAGACTGTTATTGACGTAGTTCTAGGTTACTTGAAGAATGTTTACTGATCGTAGGGAGTGTTTACATTGCTGCTTTGCTTCCTCAGGAGCTAAGGCAAGTCAAGGCAGCTGGTCACGATCCGAGCCTAGTTATATCCTCAAACAAGTTCTTTGACGCTGCCACCGAGCGCTGCGCTTCGGAAATCGGCCACAAGATCAATTACTTCATGGCCACAGGCAACATTCGGACGACCCAGCTGGATCTTCAGCAGGTTAGCTGCAATGCTTCTTCCACTTTAATTTGTGTCGCCCTGTAGCCTTAAGGGGCCCTCTTATCCTGTGCGTGTGGTGGTTGGCCTTGACTGAAGCGTGCGTGGACCTTTCGCTGCCTTTGCACAGCTGTCAGGATGGACTGTCACCGCGGATCGCCTGAACCTGAATCGTTTTCTTAGTCACTTTCGAGCAGTGCATCGAGGCCAATTTTTTGCGCAAATGAAGACTACTGCTGTAAGTTTTCTGGCACACCCAGCATGTTTTCCTGCTCGTTGTTGCTTTATGCAAAATCGTATCATGTCCTGAAAAATAGCTACATTTTGTGTTGACTATGTGGACAGGTTCGCAAGCTTTTAGGAGAAAGCTGGGGATTTCTGTGCCCTGTCCACACGCCCGATGGTGCTCCCTGTGGTCTCTTATTGCATTTGTCCCAGTTCGCTCAGCCAGTAGCGGTGCCACCTGACAAGGGGGTGAGGAAAAACCTATAAACAGAGATGGCATAGGGGGCTAGGGTAGCATACCGACCGGGCATTTCGTACAAATTTTCTGTTGAAATTGATTGTTGATCTAAGAGTTGTGTTCTGGTCAAAGTCAAGACATTGATGCTCGGCTGTTTTGGGTTTAACCCATCGCCACCGGCACCGTTGATTGAAGACGGTCTTGCCAGAACAGTTTTGTTGCGGATTGACGGTTGCAGGCAGTGGCAGCGGTACGGCTCTTCATGAAGGTTCGTGGGGCATGCGTGGATCTTGAAGGCGTCTCTGGATTGCCTCCTTCGGACCTTGGGGCCGCTGCCGGGGGACAGGCCCTCGCCCAGTTTGGCGCAGGAAGCGTTAAATGTATACCGCTTGTTGTTGACGGTGTAGTTGTGTGTAAGATACGGAAGACCGAATTTAAGTTTTGGTTCGATCAGTTGCGTCACGCGAAGGGATGTGGGTTAGAAGGATTCAAAACCCATTGGGAGCTAGTTGGGTTTGACGAGGAGAGGTGGGTGTGCGCCCACGTTGGCTGCACCCACTGCGTTTATGCCACATTCAGTGTGAACCAAGGCGAGTTTCGTAGGACAGGTGTCATGGTTAGAGGAGCGGACGAGTTTCACTTTGAGAGCTTTTTTTGTGGAGGCTTGTTCTGCTCAGCAATCAGTTTGAAGGCATTTTTATATTTACCATGCCTGGCCGGCTTGTGCGGCCAGTCAAGCATTTGGCTACTGGACGGTAAGAGGCTTAGACGCATTGGGACTGCTGTCCAGGGTGCAATAGTCAGTGTTCCCCTTGCCAGTTTGTCGCATTTGTTTTATGAACTGTGTGGTTCTGCGCAGAGTTGAGTTCATAGGGCCTCTACAGCAGCCGTGGATGTCAATCGCATGCCGTGACCGGAACGTCGCGATTAACGAACGTTCTATGAGAGCACATCTCCCGATTGTTGAAGAGCTTCTGCTTGACCAAAGTACAGGAGGGGACAAGGCAGAGGTGAGCATCGGGTCTTCGTAGAGTGTCTCCTGGGAGCACCTGCATATTCCCGTGTTAGCATCAGCCGATTCTAGATGGGACGAAGGTCTCCACATGCACAACATTGATGGGCGCGATTGTGCATTTCAGAGCAGAGTGGAAAAGCTAGAGAATGCTTATCAAGCGTTGCTTGATGAAGAGCGCAACATGGCGAGGTGTAATAGTGACCCCAGAAATCTGGGCAGCATAAAGGAAGCTCGAGAAGCCCTAGCCACTAGCCATGTCCCACTGCATTACGAATACGTTGAACTGAGCCCAACGGCTTTCCTTAGTGTCACAGCGGCCCTCACCCCATTTAGTAATCACAACCAAAGCCCAAGGTATTTGAAAGCACGACAGGCAGAGTCGCGTAATGCCTAGCTAGTCGGGATTATATCCGTACACAGTTGTGCCTTTGTCCGCAAGCGCATATCATTTACACTGAGCAGCGACACCTTAAGAATTTTGGTTGAATTTTGTCTGACATGCCATCCTGCAGGAATATCTATCAATGCCAAATGTTGAAGCAGACCATGGGCACACCATTCCATGCGATACCATTTAGGCATGACAACAAGGCTTACCGCCTCATAACTCCACAGAAACCGCTTCTGCGGACGCGAGATTACCGGCAGATTGATTTCGATGATTATCCAACAGGAGTGAATGCAGTGGTTGCCGTAATGTGCTATACCGGGTAATTTACTCAAGTAACACCGTATTCTTTCTCCTATTTGCAACACCTGTTGATCACTTGGATCCAATAGAAGAATACGAAATCACTGATATGCTCTGCTGCGGATACTTGAACTTCCACGTTTGACAAACGCGAAACGCGAAAGGTTTCCGGACTTTCTGCGTGCAGCTTCGACATGGAAGATGCCATGATCCTCAACAAGTCTTCTGTGGAGCGCGGCTTGTTCCACGGATGTGTGTACAAAACCAAGATAATAGACGCTGCCCCAAGTGGATCTCGCGCAGTGAGCTTCTCTATGGACTTAAGGACTCAAATGATTGTTGGGCGATTGCATCTGTTTGCGCCTCGCAAGAATGGTTCATTCTTTGTGCTGCAAAACAGCTGCAGACAAACACCTGGCTTGCTGCGAACAGTTCGTCGGTGAGAATGATAAAGGGGGTCACCAGCGCATTGTCTTCTTCAGGCTGCGATGCGTTGTGGTGCTACAGCAAGATGCTGAGGAATACCAGTTCACGAATACCAGCAAACTCGGTCGGAAATGCATCCCTTCGCTTGACGCGGATGGCTTCCCTGCCATCGGTGCAAAGGTCACTCAGGGGAAGACTCTTTGCAGGTGTCTACTGAATTGATAAGGTCCAAGGTTTAGTCTCGTAGCTTATTGGTGATTCCCAGCAAAAGCTTTTCAAGCACGTCTGTTAGTGTTCAGTTTTTATTCATATGCATTTTGTTACCTGTGGACTCTCCAGGTCGCAGAGGCACACGCATTCAGCGGTTTCTCAGGCCCCTGCACAGCAGACAGTCTATAAGGATGACGAGCCCGCTTACGTTGATGGTGTGACCCTTACTTCGGCTCCTGCGCCTGCTGAAGAACGGGTCCTACGAACGGGCCTGAAGGGCTGCAGAGCCTCCCTTCGCCTACGCAGTGTTCGGAAACCAATCATCGGCGACAAGTTCGCGTCAAGACATGGACAGAAGGGCATCTTGTCCATGCTTTGGCCTCACGAAGACATGCCCTTTTCAGTAAGGACGAGCAGCCTTTCAGTTTAGGGAAAACAGGTGACCTCGTTCAATTCTTACAGTAGGGCATTTGTGGCGTTGCTGTGTTAGGTGCTTGCATTAATACCCTGCTGCTATTTGGCCGTCTTCAGGAATCGGGATTAGTACCAGACATTTTGTTCAATCCGCACGGCTTTCCAAGTAGAATGACAATTGGAATGCTTATTGAGAGTATGGCTGGCAAGGCAGCTGCAGTGCATGGAGCTTTTCAGGTACAGTAAATCGTGCGCAGACCCCACTCCTAAACTGGCTCGCAGGGAGCAGCAGTGTTTCACCAAATCGGATTTATCCTCACCGAATACTATTGTTGCACACACAAGGGAGAGGATGTGGAATGAGTAACAGTGCACTATCCCGAGCGCGGAACAACTTTGCAGGATGCAACAGCCTTTCGGGAGTTCAAGAAACAGCAGAAAACTGGGAACCGTTGGATCGATCAAGAGGGACACCATGGTCAGCTATGCCGCGAGTATTAGCTGTAGCCTAGTCTAGCTAGTGTAGCTCCTACATTAGTTGTTGAATACGTGCTCACGAAGCACATGCTATTCCCATGTTCTTGTGCAGGATATGTCCTGCGAGGGGAGCGCTACCGGACACCTGAAGAGGAGGCACTAGCCCAAGAGCAAGGCGACACTCCCGTAGATTACTTCGGTAAAGCCCTCTTGGCCTCAGGTGAGCGTTTGGCGGGGTGGCGTAGTCTCAGTTGCATCGGGTTTGCCAATGGGAACGTAATAATGCAAAAGAACAAACCATTGAGATTCCTAACAAGCCATTTCGTGCCAGTGACGAGCTCCCCTTAGAGTTGGTGCTTTTTTTGCGTATTCCGACGGGATCCGTGTGTGTTCAGGCTACCAGTACTATGGCAGGGAAGAGCTCTACAGCGGCGTCTATGGAGTACCGCTTACATGTCACATATTTACTGGCCTCATCTATTACCAGCGTCTGAGGCACATGGTAGGACACATAGCTTTGGCTGTGATGATATATAGTCATTCTTCGCACCGGACAAACTGTGGATAGTGGCGGATAATAATGGGCCTACTTTGTTGTTGCGAAGGTAACAGATAAAGCACAAGTACGTGCAACTGGACCGATTGACTCGTTAACTCATCAACCTGTTAAAGGTCGCAAACGCCATGGAGGTGTCCGCTTTGGCGAGATGGAGAGGGATGCCCTTATCGCTCACGGCGCCGCAGCGCTGCTGCAAGATCGACTGTTGCACGTACGGAGCTGTTTGTTCAGGCCGTGTGGCACCGTTGTCTCCCTTCGGCCTTCAAAGGCGTAGTCTTGGTTAGCGGGAGTTGACGGGTTGCTGCTGTTTCTGATGTGTGTTTTCGCAGTGTTCGGACGCGCACCGTGCGTTTTGTTGCCCTAGCTGCGGCAGCATCCTGTCTCCGGCACAATCGCCAAGCCTCAAGGGGCGCTCCGTTGGCGGGAAGAGGCCGGTGCCTCTTTGCCGCATTTGTGCTGTGCCATGCCGGCTTGTGCAACTGCCATACATTTTCCGGTGGGATTTTCGCCCAATACATTTTATATTTTGACATCCGTGGCAGCCGTATTGCCCCTCAATATTTGACACGCTGTTCCCTACTGCCTCTACTGTGCCTTTGGTGCAGGTACTTGTCCAATGAGTTGGCGTCGATGAATGTGACAGTCCGTCTCGAACTTGATCACTTGGGATTCCCCGTAAAGCCCCAGCATGAAGGCCAACAAGAGCAGCCTCCACAGGATGGCGCGGTTGGTAGTTTTGGACATGGGGGAACTGGGACAGCGCATATTCCATTGCCAAAAAGGCAAGAGCCTCGACGAACACGTGGAAGTAGCGGCTAGATGGCACAGTGCGTACACAGCCTATTCTGAACTCCATGGCTGTGTTGCTGTAGAGTCGTGGAGTTGAATGCAGATACACACTTTCCATTCCATGGCATGACATGCGCTTCTGCATGTTGCCAATCTGCAAACTGCTTTGTTTACCCATGGGCTTTTGGGTGTTGCCAGTCTGCAAAGTGTGTTCCTTCGTTGGAGACTCCGCTTGGGAGGCGGACGAGGTGCTTTGTTGTCTGTCTGAGTTTTATCGACTACGATTTAAAACGTTAGCATTGCTGTTCCGTTAGAAGACCTCTCATTTTGTTTTGACTGATGGTTGCTCTTGTCCAGCTTTCCGGGTGTGGATAAAGTCTTTTTATCCGCTTTGCGTCAATTGAAAAGGCATTAGTTTGTAGTTACTCAAGTGCGAAACTGGTGCAGCGGTTGCCGCCCAATTCCGGTTCAGAGACTAAGCAGTATTTGCGACTATATTGGAAGTGCAGTACAGCAGCGGAGCGTTCAGTTGAAGCTGTAAACGATGTAAGTGTACTTGGAAGAAGAACATCCGGCCACTACGTAACAAACATGAGGGCAAGTTGTGCTTGACGGGAGACGGAGAAGATCCAGTATTGACAGCATGTGGGTGGTCTTGATCCCTTCCAACTATTAGTTTGCACTGTGACTAGCAAATGCTTCCTGAATAAGCAGCTACCGAAATATATATTCCCTATACTCTAACAGTTCTATGCACTCCCCCGAAGCAACCAGATCTTGAACATGTTCGGGTGGCCGGCTATTCCCTAAATTTCAGTGGGGATGACTCGTGTGAAAATTGTGTACACCGTGCTTCTAGTTTCGCCCACTGGAACGGTTCAGCCTTTCTTTTTTCCCGAAGGAGCACCATAGGCTGTCGGTGGTAGGAAGTCACCTCAGCAAGAGCAGCAGACGACGATCATTCTAAGCAAGGGTAGTTTTGTTTTAAAAAGACGTGGACAAGAACACTATGATCCGGTTTATCCGTGGCCTTGCCAGAACACAATAACTACGGCCTATCGGTACTTAACGCAAATTTCAGCAGGGCCAACCCATGAGAGGACCGTAGCCGCCTGTTTCACTATCAAAACTAACGTCTCCACCCTGCCAACAGTGGAACGAAACTGGAGGCAGCATGGCTTTAAAATTACTTTACAAGTAGAGACAATGGACAGCATATCAGCTTTATTTTAGTTGCATTTCAAGCACTCCCACCCACGTGCTGACCACACCATTCTCGAGAAGTCCTGCGGTCTTGCCGGGTGGGGGACCCGCTAGGGTCGCTGATAGAATACTGTAAGGGTTTGGCACGTTTTTCTGCTGCAAGAAATTTAGTAATTGCCGTTATATCTCCTCTTCTTTGTTTTCTAGCATTTCAACTGGTACTAGGAAAGGCGGTTGCGCTCAACATGAGAGTCTGCTCGGGCGAGTCTGCTGGTCTCTGGATGGGTAACAATCGATAGGAGACAAGATAGAAACAGCCAGATATTATCAGTTCCTTTGGAATTGAGGTTTTGAAACTGTGTCCGAGTCGGCTACGGCTAGTCGCAGCGGCGACTCGCTGTCTGCTAATCAGCGAAAGCAGGCCGTAAGGTCACCGGCTACCTCAGGCAAAGCATCTCTCGGCTACGGCATGACAACTACTCTGTTCCTGACTTTACCATCAGAATATTCTCTAATTCACACTAGCCAAAACCAGATCCATTATCGCCGAAGCATGGCTAAGGCCGATTGATGCCATCTCCAAATCGACAACCGGGCTGGTCACACTGCTTGGCAGTCAATCTTGTCATTCACCTGAAGGGCTGGATATTCGCGTTTATGTCTCTTTACTACTGATATTTGCTCAAATTTGATGTAGGCGGAGGCTGGTGAGGCTCCTACCGATTGCCGTTGTATAGCATACGTGATCACTATTCCACAACACGCCAGACTAAAGTGAACGTCAAAGGTTTGCAATCGACAGCCATGAAGGTGACACCCAGTCGGCGAGGGAAACGGTGCAACCGAGAGCATTCTGCTCTCGAAGAGCCTGAAGCTGATATGGAACAGCTTGTGGAATCAGTCGGTGGAGACTTGTCCGAATTCTTGTATCCGTTTGAAAATAATGTCGAATTCGTAGATAACTCTCCGGAGGAAACTGAGGAAAGCTCAAGAAGTTCGGAATTTGAAGAGCAAGACATCCTCTCCGTGCCCGCAACCCCTCCCTCGACCCCAATGAGCAAGCCAGACCGAACTGAAAGCAGTGTGGCTACCGCTGGCCCAGCTAGAGATCGGCGACCTTCAGCGGTCTCACGTAGGGCCTGGCACAAGCTCAGGAGAATGGTAGAGGGCCAGGAGAGGCCCCTTGAGGAGGCAGAGCAAGATAATCTCTATGACAAAGTAACTGGTCGCCGTGATCAGAGCCGCGAAGCGCAGGAGGCACGAAGCGAGCTTTGCTGCGAGGTTCGTAAAGAAGGGAGTCAACATCCAGTAGAAAGCGCCACAGCAACACTCCAGAGTACTTCTCGCTCAAGCAAACCATTGCTACCGGAGGCGAGGTGCTTAATAAGCGTTCACCAAGGCGAGGAGGCCAACAAGGAGCTCGAAAAAGAAGTTTCCAGTGCAACAGCTCCCGACGAACCGCTGCAGCAACCAACGGAAGGGGAGTTCAGCAGTGAAGCGACTAGCATCTCTAAGCGTGCTGCTATCCAGCCAAATGAAGACATGCCAAATGCGGAAGAAGAGGCTCGTGAATCTTCCCCAATGCGCAAGAGCGTTGTGAGTTGGCACCCCGTGGCGGAAGTGGTGACTGTGGAAGCGGGAAGTCCGACTACGCAATACCCAGTTACAAGGAGCACTACAGGCCTCGTGGAGAAGTCCACTCTAAGGTCATGCAGACGCATCACAGATAGATCGAGTGTGTAACAACGCAGCGTCCCCTGCAGCTCAACGACCCTGCCGAAATAGTCGATGTTGAACGCCAGCCGCGGCTACATTCACTGCAGGCACTCAATGGAACAACGAACACAAAACAACAAAAGCAAATAAGTAGACGCAGGGAATGAATAAAGGCACTAAGCGCTCAACAGAGGAAAACGGTAGCTAGTAAGAAGTTGCCCCTCATGAGCAGTCAAGCAAAGACCTGCAATGCCAGTTCTATATAACTTTTTTTATGTTACTACGGCACCATGCTGCCGAACAAACACTGACTACGATATTTTTTAGTCCAACCAACTGAGGACTCGCAACATTCGAAAAACTACCTCACAATGAGAACTGTTTCGGAACAATCTTACTAAACTATTTTAGGTCACCGTGGAGTCGCTTGCAAAAGACTGCCACTGACATTCGTAAGGCAACGGCTAGCGATCCACTCATCCCTCAGAAACGAAAGCAGCCCCACAACAGGGAAGCCCCCCACTGTAGCAGCTGAAGCGGCACCAAGTGTAATCACGCGGTGCTCAGAAAGGTGCGTATTGACAGCATGATGTATCCCCGGACGACAACTCTACGCAAGCATAAGATCCGGTCAGACCAAAACTACCACGGCGTTGCATCTAAAGTTGGGCCAACTCGACTCCTAGTGTGTATCTCTGACGCTCATATGCTGCCCACAAAAGCTCGTCGGTGCCGGTCACGCATCAGCAGCCCTTGCTTCCCAGCCATGCAAAATGAAGGTTGTGTACGCCTTCAGCTTTGCAGGTTCATATGCTGCGGATTTAACAAAGAGAAAACAAACTAATGCATGCTTTACAGGATCTCCCAAGTGCAGTGAACGACAATAGTTTCGAGCTCGTTGCTTCTCCCAGGTGTAAGCTACCGTGCCTTAACATAATGAACATGGTTGAGACTGCGCAATAAAAAACACCGAGCTTTAAAGATGTAGAGGATGCCACGGGTCCGCTGCAGCTGCCCTCGCCACAGCTGTTTCCCGCTGCCTGTGCCATTTTGTCTTGTAGGGATTGGAAGATTTAATTCTATTTGTCCCCATCCCCCAAGAAGGCAGTTTCCTGTTGTAAGTGTTGTCGGAAGTCAACTGCTGCTGATCTCTATTGTACCGGGGGCACTCGGCCGCCGTGTGCCCCGGGTGAGAGCAGCAGGGACAGTGGCAAACCCCCTGCTGCACTGTAGGGGAAATGCAGTTCGCGTGGCCCATGCATCCACATACGATACACTGTACAGCTGAGAAAGTCAACCGTCTGGCACTCTTGTCGGTGGAAGTACTCTCGCTGCCAGTGCTGCCGCTACTGCTCTTTAAGCCTTCAGGATTCTGGGAAGGGAATCGGCCCTTGTTGTGCAGTTTTTTGGGTTCCTGTTCGGCTTGTTGGCTTCTCTTCTGGATGTGCGCCGTCAGGTGGCCCCGGATACTGAGCTCCATAAAGTACAAAGGGCAGTCATCTGTATCGTGACCCTCCCCTCCGCAGCTGTTACAATAAATGCCAGCATATGGACATTTACTGGATTGATGTCCCTCTCCAAAGCAACGACGACATGTAGGCTGCTTCATGTAAAGCGGTAAGGGCGAAGCCTTCCCCTCCCAAACCTCCCGGGAGTGAGTTTGCGCGACCTCGGAGAAATACCGATTGTGGTGGGATCTCGTTCGCCCCACGGGTTCGTCCCCCGCCATATTGCGGCCTCCCTTGGGCGAAAAAATCCTCGGGTGTCCTGAATGTTCACTAGGCCGAATGTGCAGGAAACAGGTGCGTGGGCGAAGGAAACAACGAGGGGAAGCAGGGAGAAAGGGATTAGAGTCAACAGCCAGTAGCGTTGTAGTGAAGTGAGTGTAATAACAGCCCCCTTTGCTGAAACAACAAAAACGAATATACCACAGAAGCCTTCGGACTTTTCGTCGGTCTCTTTCCTGCACCGGCCGTCGCCATGGTAATAGAGACTGCAGCCTAAAGGAAAACTAGATGCGGCTGAGTGTTCAGAGGGTAATAATGAAAACTTGAACGCTACTTACCTGAAGGGAACGAAATCGAAATTACGACAGGAGACGAAACAAAACGTACTGCGGATGCGCGCAAGTTTGTGGAAGCCCCAAGCTTGCATGCACTGGAGATCATGAATGCCTGGGCGCAAATATGCATCATTGTAGGCTGTCAAGCTTCCATGCTTCGAGATTTGGAAAAAGTATCAAACAGGGAACCATTAATGGCTTGTTTTACCCCTCGATTTATATCGTTTCTATCGGTCTATAATGGTCCTTTCGCGCGCTATGCGCGCCCCTCTCGGCGTACCGGGCTCGCTTCGAGAAAAAGTGTAAGCGCATGTTCTTTCTGCTTCTTGTGTGTCTCGGACCCGTCTTGGTCTTCTCACCCTTTTTGGCTCCCTCTTGTGCTGCGGGTTGGGTGTGCTAGCCGATTCTGCACGTTCTTTGCTCCAACAGTTGCCGAAAATCGATGTGAAAACAACGACAATCATGGGAGACAGAATGTGACAAATGAACACCTTTTTCCAGTCAAACGCGCGTCTTCAGGGCCTTCTCACAGCCGGGGAAAAAGTGGTGCCAATGGACTGTAGGACACACCGTGATTGCTTTGTTCGCCGCGCCATTCGTTTATTGGGGTGCTAAAGTAAGTCCTCCTTCTGCAGTTGCCCTCGACGCTATGGTGGGTGGGTGAGCTGTCACTATTGCTTCGCCCTGAAGGCGTGATGGCAAATTGCTTTGGTGCTATGTGCGCGCCGCAGTCTACATACATGACGGCCCGCTTGCGGCGTCTTGACACCCAGGAGATTCTTTCGGACAGATTCACGTGGCTTCATGAGAGGATGCTGGTAAATATTGTTTTGTCACTATCGATAGACTAATTAGTTATGTATTTCCCAAGCGCTGCAAGGCAGGGGCCTGTAGAGAGATTCACATCCGTTCCACCTGAGGGGGGGGGCTGTGGGCGTAGAGCCCAATGGATCGGGCATCATTACGATAAATCATTTCTCTCTTCATGGCTGAGTCTCTTCCCCACGTTATCTTTGTGTTGATACACGTACTGACGACTCAAGGTGCTTGCGTGTTCTCCCTTGTCTCACTAAACTGGCTTATCGCCTTCTGGTTCCGGGCTACTTGTTTGCTGAAGCATCTCCTATTGCTTGCCAATTTTCTTTTGCCATATTTGCACATGTGCCGACTTCCATTTGCGCTTTTCCATATACTTTGTTCTGCCCATACCCGTTTGCCTTAATTTGTGCTTTTAGGAAGACGAGGTGGATGCTCTTCTGATTAGGCAGTTGGCGGACAGCAATATCGATCGCACGCAACCTTTCCTTCGTCTAGGCCCTTCATACGTCCGTTCGACTTAAGCCTGTACAAGCTAGGCGACTTCACAACCAACTTGTGAGCTGGTGCCAAAAAAATGTTGCAGCAGCAGTAGCCGTCCATGGAGGCGAGCTGGCGTCAAGCGGTTCAGCCCGTGATGCACCTTAATCCGAAACGCGAGTATTACTGCATGATGATGGAGGATGATTCCCAAACGCATGTGCTAAACTTGCTCCCCACGGTTTGGAATCGAAAGCGAATTCTCCACGTTTGGAGAGCTTCTTCTTTTGATCCTTTAAGGGTCTAGCGATTATGGTTTCTATTTTTTTATAGAGAGGAGCGTCCTTTGGTTTCCCCCTAAACGTGTTTAACTACTTCACTTGCCATCAGGCATACAGCACGTTTAGCTGTCACGTGTACAGCTGCTTGCTGCCAAGCTCCCCAAGGGGCACTATGAAGTGTACACAGATCGGCAGTACTATTTGATAGAGCCGGTTTAGCCCGTTGGTGCGACACTGTGCATAGACAGATGCACAGTGGCACGGATGGGCACTTTTAGTTGGTGTGGGGATGAAGTAGGCCCAAAGGAGGCATGCGGTGCGTCGCTTCGAAAAGCAATGCGTGGACGCTCCGCACAGCTATTCGAAACGGCGCGCCAACGGGGTCCAGTGAGCTTGATTAAGAGTGTGTCTGTAGGGAACTTTACTTGTGAAGGGCATTATAGGAATTATTCGGTTGGACTTTAACATGAGTGACACCTTTGAATGCTAAGAACACAATGTGGCGTTGAGTGACAGGCCCTTCCTCGCCAGGAACAACTACTGGTCCCATGACTGACGAGTTATTAGCAATAAGTTAGCAATAAGAATTGGGGGCAATCTCCGCAGTTTCTCAAGAAGGTAATTGTGGGAGCAATTCGCTTTGGCGTGTTAGCCAGGTCGTTGCTCAGACATCCCCGTCGATCGACCGCGTTGGCCTTTGTATGTTGGTCACTAGTCGTCTCGCTACGGCCAGTGCAGCCGGTGCTCAGACTTTGGGAGGGTGCATGTCTTGTTTCTTAGTGCTATTTCTGGTGTTGATTTATCCTTTATTAATTTATTTTGGGCTGGCCTACGAAGTGGAACAGAGAAAGTTGACCTTCAGTCTGCTGTCTGCTGCCGCGAGCTAGGTTGCGTCCCGCTGCTGCTGTTTGCTTATCGGACGCACAAGCATCAACAAATCACTGGACTTCGCTGCCTGCATAGGAGTGACTTGAGCGGATCTCTTGTAAATGCTCCAGTATGTGGACTAGAGTGGTCCTTTTGAACGCTTTGCCGCCGCGGTTCCCAGGCGCGCAGTGACCTTGGTCGGCAGATTGATGGCGCTCCCGGTGAACTTCGCGAGGGCAATTGGTAATTATATTATATAGTTGTGTCTGGCTTTGCAGACTGTGTTATCTTGAACTCGTACTGTTTCTTATCTGTCCTATTGCCAACGACACAGTGAGTCGGCAGTATAACAACGGAACTCTAGGCTTCCTTTGTTGGGCCCGATGAGGCCTTGGAATGGAATTCAATCCCTTCTGGCTAGCAGTCAGTGTCTTCGCAGCACTGATGCCCGTGCTGCCATATGGCTCACCTCCATACCGAATGTGAGACACGGATTGCAGCGTCAATGCAGTGGTAGCATGACTATTTGCCGGATCGGCCAACAAGTTTCTGCACGAAAGAAAGGCCCCACAGTATGTGGCCTCGGGCGCAGGGTAGGCTCGGTTTCCGTATGATGGCTTTGTTGAGTGTGGCATATCTGTCCTTGCAGAAGGCAGGAAGGTCAGAGGAGCGTTCGGAGTTAGTGAGCAACGAAGAGGATCAGAACGAGAAAAAGGCCAGGCAAAACAGTCGCTCTGAACGAAGGCGCCTACAAGCTCAACTGCGCGAAAGGGCTCAAGTAGAACTGGAACACGTGAGAGCCGCGAGGGACCAGCAGAACAACGTAGATATATTCCCGTATAAGGCTCGCGAAGGGGATTCCTCGCCGAACTCATCCAGCAGCCGCAGCAAGCCACGAAAGCTGCCTTTCGCCGGGTCAACAGACGTAGCAAGGGCAGGTGGCCTTACGACTTCCTCAGCTAGTTTTTCTGACGGATGTGACGAATCCGCCGAATGCCCGGAAATGCATGGAACCCCTTTACAAGCGACCCAGGAACGAGAAGAAATAGTACTCGAGTCTTCCTTAACAGTGACCCCTCAGCAAGAAAGCATTCCCTGCATTGTCCCCGAACTAGCGGCTACTGAACGACTGTGCAATGCCGCCCTGCCCCCCGGGAGAGAAGTGTTCGACTCGAGAATTGCTACGCATGTTGCTTCTGAGGAAGACACTTGTGCACTATTGGTTCAAGAGCGGAAGATGTCAATATCGAGGGTGCCAGTACTAATGGCTCGAGAAGCAGATGTGCTGGAAGCAAGGGCAAAGTCTGTGAGGGCACCTGCGGCTCAGGGAAGAAGTTTTGCCGAAATTATCAAGCAGTTGTTGTCCTCCCGCATAATTTCCCAACGCACAGCTGCTGCACTATTAGCTCCTGTAGAGAATTGTGGAGGCGTGGAGGAACGTTCGCCAGGCGCTGCTGAGTGTGAGGGTCGTGGACAAGCAAGTAGCGAAGAAGTTCGATCATCTTTCCCCCGGGCGCTCTCTGCAACAGAAGTAGTCAAAAAGTTAAGCGAGAGTATCTTGCGCTACCATCCAATGTTCCGTACAGTCCGCTCCATCCTCAGGTCAGGCCCAGCGGATGAGAGCAGTTCTTCGTCTTCAAGCGACGACGATGGCACGAATGTGCCTGTCTACAGGACATTGTCTGTTCAGCGGCGGAGCTGCATGAGACGGAGGGGGCCACTTCGTTTCATTCGGAGGACCTTATCTCGTGTGGATTGGGCAACAAATGCTGATGAAGCCGTCTACATTGAGTACGTTGCTCCGGCCTTCTCGCTTCTCCCCCCAGAAGCTGTCGAAGTCCGCTCGCCCCCTCCGGATGCACCGCCGAAACAAATTAAGTTGGCTTCAGAGGAGGAGGCAGCAACGAGAGCAGCAGCAGCGGCAAAAGCAGCAGCAGAAGGGGACCCGGAGAGAGAAGCAGCAGCAGCAGCAGCGGCGGCGGATGCAGCAGCTCTAGCTACGGAAGCCAGACAAGAAGGTGCAGAAGTAGCAGCAGCAGAGGCCGAAGCAACAGCTGAAAAGGAAGCAAGAGCGCTGGCGCAATTGGCAGCAGCGGCAGCGGCTGTAGAGGAAGCAGAAATACAGACATTAGCGGCGAAGGCAAGAGCCGGGCGCCTCAGTAGGGAGGAACTCGAGCTCTGGCAGCGGCGCAGGGAGGGAGGCTGAAGCCTGTTTCCGGCATTTTGACCGAAATAACCCCACAGCGAATTTGAATTTCATGAATTATATTCGGCACCCCATCCAGCCCCTCCACACAGACACACTTTGATGCGTATTTATAAGCCTGCGTACGTGCGCATCCTTGAGGACGAAAATGACACCTTGCCACCCCGAAACACTGTACAGTGCCCACATGCGCATTGATAATGCATAAGCAAGCATGAAAACCTACCAGTCCACTAAAGTAAAACGTTTCTCACTAACGGGGACCGAGTGAACCCCATTTCATCCTTCGTTTGTAGCCGCATGGTTCAACCCAGGTGCAGCAGGTGCAGCACCATGTGCTAGTGCCCTTTTCTACGTGTCTCGGGAGTACTCAGCACGCGAGTGAACACGCTGAGGTAGCACCAATTCGAGTCCGTCCCATGCAGCGGTCACCTTTAAAGCAGGCCCATCGGGAGCCTCGTGCAGCTCCCGTTCTATTTCGTAGGCCCGTCTGTAAATCCGCAGTCTCACAAGTCTTAATCTCACTCCTTGTTCATACATGGGGAATAAGCCTCTACATACAGATCTCTTCTGGAACTAGGTTGAATCATGCGAAGCAGAAGCGGTGACAAGTATTTACACATGCATTGCATAATCTGGCTTAAAGATGCTTCATTCTCCACAAGGTGTATGTTGACCACGATATTGCACCCACCTAGCCTCCTCTTCGACGCGTTCCATTGCAAGAACACTACGCAGAGCAGAGTCCCCCCGGTACCTTTGTGAAAAGTGTGTCAGCACTAACCGGGCGGCGCCGGCGCGAAATGCAAAGCTGCGGATACAACGGACACTATAACCGATGCTACTGAAGAGACCGCAAAATGCACCACAGAACCCGTAGCCCCTTCGCTGCCAGGCGCTGGCTACCTCGTTTGCACCTCTTCCCCTGCTCCTCAGCTGTACACAGTCTGCAGTGCACGTGCACTGGGATAGCTTCACAAAGCGCAGCTGCCTTCCTCACCTTCCCGCCATGGCTGCGGAGGAGTGTCCTCTCTCGAATGCCGCTTCGCTTGCAGCTTGGACTTGGGAGCCCATGAGGTCTTTGGCGCAACGCCCTCTACCCTCGCCATACCCACAATGCAGGCTTTCTCTCTTGTCCGACTTTGCGTGTGCCAACGGAAGCAGCTCATCGGAATAGGGATCGGATTTGCACGATGTCCCTTTCACACCACTCATTGTCGCCTCGTGTACCTGTACGGGGAGGAGCGTCAGCATTATTCGCACCGTTAATTGCCTTCCTACCTGTGCCAATAATACATTTACCTCCTCTTCGCCACTGCACCATAAGCAACAGCTGCATCGGCAGCAGCTGCACTAATAGCGCTTACAAGGATGTCAGCGCCTTGGGCGAAGGGAAGCATCCGGGAGGCGTCACAAGTGTCGAATGCAAAGCATATCTTTCTTGGCTGGGGGGCCTCGAGAAATACATCGGAATGCCCTACTTTGGTCCCGTCTGGAAATGTGAAAACCTCTCCAGCTTTCAGTTCAGACAGGAGCTACAGGCAACACGAAAGCAGCAAACGGCAGGCTTGCGTCTGTTGCACCCAACCCTCTTGAATGGGGTCCACCGATCCAGCAGAGCTGAAAAGACACACACTGCCGTTGGCCTAAGCCAAAATTGACGTTAACTACATCTACACTCTGCATGCCTCTGCGACGCTGAGTAGGATGATCTGGTGCTGCGGAGCATACGGCTGCTGCTGCTCTTGGTGATGAGGCTTGTTGCGATGTCTTGAACAGGCCTTACCTTGTACACAACCTTGGGCTCCCCCCGCAGCTGTGGCCACTCATAAGGGTCTTTCAGGCGATGCGAGTTCTTTTCAATGAGGGGGTCGATAACGTCGGCTCGCAGACGGTGGCGAGACTTCTTCTCAGTCACCACGTATCCAACACAAGGAACAAGGTGCTGCACAAATAACCAACCAACAAAGCCGCAGAGGAGTACTTGCAATGAAACAGTCGCGCTCTGAGTCACGCAGGCATTGGGATGTTGCTGCTGGCGTGGCTCGGGGATGGCTGGCATTCTGCTGTTGCCACAAACTGCCAAACTGATAGAGAAGTGTCCGCGCCATCCAATGATCGTGGGCATGCTGGATGTAGGCGTCTTGTTTTGGAAGTAGCAAATAATCATCTGCGCCTGCACCCTTTGAGAAATGCTGCGCTGTGAGCGGCATCCAGCTCACCCGTATAGGCGCAGCCGTGACGACTATCTCAGAGTCTTCAAAGGCCACATAACTGCCATCGGCATTCGGCTCAATGTCCCGCCTCCCCATTATCTCTGACGGGGCCCTGAATCCCAACAGTGCGCAAAATTGCACACAGAAAAGTCAGGAACAGCGCGTGCAAAACCTACAGCAGCCCTAGCAGCAGCACCAGAAGCTACTGCTCCAGCTCGAAGTACGAAATTATGTCGTGCAAAAATCGTGTATACATGACACCACCGTTAATGACTGCTACCATAACGTGTCGCTCAATCTGTGGCCAGCAGTTGTTTTCGTCTCTTTTCCAGTATGCTTGACTACCTATCCACGGTGATCTGCTATCCGCTGCAACACGGAGCTCACGAAGGCAAAAAGGGCAGGCGGATGGCCCGGGATCGCCTGTGGTGGAGGTGGGGGACACCCCGCAGCTCCACGACTGAGAAGGACGGGAGTCGACGTGCACTGGTGCCCTGAAAACGCACAACCAGCAGTATAAGCATCCCAAAAAAACAATTTGTGTGGCTCTGCAATCGGGCAATATCGTTAAATATTTCTAGACTTTGCAACACTTCAGGTTGGTACAATCTTCTCGCGTGAGTCTAAGACAGAACGATCTAACGGTGTACCCCACGCCCTCAATCTTTGACGTTCAACGCACATGCAGAATGCAGCGAAGAAGGGTGCGGATTCCCTCGGGCCCTACAATTTCTATGTGTCTTGGTCCCCTGCAACACCGCAGCAGCAGACCAACGAAATGCTTACAGTATTGTTGCTGGTCAGGAGAAACTGGGCATGACAAGATGACCGACGGCAGTGAAACATTCGAAATATGCAAGGGACCCAAAGCTATGCAATCCATTTTGTGTCTTACCCCTCTGGGTCTTGCGCAATTTGGGACAGAAAAGAAGGGAGGCCTAGGCAGTGGTCCCCGTGGAGATGTGTCACGAACACCCGCTGAACCACGCCCATGCGTCTCTGCAGGAAGAACAACAGACGCTACATAGCTCACCACCTTGCTCTACACAGAACTACAGTATTCAACCAACATAAACGCATAAATTCAACTGGATAGAGGAACCAAGTGTGTGTGTCCGAACCTTCCTTGTCTCCTGCTGGTGATGCTGCTGTAGCGCAGCAGCAACATCTGGGCTTGCCCTCGTAATGGCTTCCTCAGCAATAGCAACAGCCACTGCCTGCTTAAGCCTGCTGCTACGATCCCCTATGGCACCGGCTGCAGCTGCTGCCACACCTGTTGCTGCTGGAGTCCTACGACAGGCAGAAGCAGCGTGGGTTGGAGAAGGCCCCCCTCCGCAGTCAAACAGCCAGGCGGATCCATCCCCACGAGAAAATAAAATGCAAGAGGTTCCCCGAGTTGCCTGAAGCAACAAATTCGAAACACAAGCACCCTGGGCAGCACGCATGTTTCCACAAACGCAGCACGAGTGCCACTTCGTACCGCAGCTTGTGCAGCAAGCAGTGAAACACTAACAAGAACCGCAACCCAAGTTTTATACATGGTGGAGAGAATGCATCGATACGACAGTATAGAGACTCCGTCATGGTAGCCACACGCTCGAAACACTCAGAGGTAGGAGGCTGCAGCACGGACAAGAGCACCAAACGGAACAGCAGCAGCAATACAATCACCTCCAGCAGGTGCGACAAAACTCACCGACGCCTGCATAGCCCCAGTTCCCAGGAAGTGAAGAGACCAGCTGCCTTTTTGCTGCTCTCCCCGGAGCCGCAGCAACAGCTGGCGGTCTACTAGCAGCTTCGCACCTCCCCAGCTGTTCCCATGGTGTACATATACTACACCCCTAGCATCAGCCGCACTCTTAAGACTAAAAGCATCCGCTACTTTAGTCAAAAATGAGGCACGGGCTTCTTCAACTGCTTCGAATCTAGAAGCAGTCCACCAAGGGGAAGCGCCAGCACTGGTGGCACAACTGTCGTTGCATTGGTAGCTGCTCGTACTGCTCTTGTTCAAGGGATCAGCTGATAGAGAGCTTGTTGCAGCAGCGACTACTTCCGAGTAGGCGGCTTCGATCTCGGACGCCGCCTTTGCTGCTGGAGACGCAAGAGCTGCATCCCCTATGTCGTCATGCAGTGCTGCAGTTGCACCTGTATCTGATGGAACTGCCAGTGTGCTTGTGGCTGTCCTCACTGGCACTGGCGTCCAGCTTGCACAAGATGGCAAAATATTTCTGTGCAGTTCCACCCAAGGTGCCCTCGTCCGGCAACTCGGCGGCCCTCTCTGTGCTGCAGGATGCGACGGGGCCTTCTGGAACGAAGGACGGAGGGCACCTCCAAGGGCTTCTCCTCCCTGGCTGCAAAAGGGGCCAGGTTTAAATGAAAAAGAACCCGTTTCGGGCAAGCGGAGCAGCAGCAGCAACAGCATCGGCGGCAACAGCAACGGCAGCACAGGGTGCCGCCGCACCTGCAATGCCACCTTGTTCATTGCACATTTGGAATATGCTCTAGTACAACCAATATTCTCCTTTCCCTCAGTCCTTTGTGGGACTCACAGGGTGGCACCACTGCAACGAGCATCTGGCAGACAATGGGCCCCCACTGAGGAGCTTGCTTCTCACTATTCTGGCCTCCTCGCATGAGTAGTTTACTTACTAAAATATAATTCAAGGAAGGCCGATATGCAATCCCACTCTTGAGATTACTGAAAAGGAGGGAACGAGCAACAACATGCGGGGCCCCCCTTTTGTTCGAAGGGCCCCGTGTCTTCCCTCGACGGTCTATAGGTATTAGACCGCACTCAGGGGCTACAGTACTCAGGATGGAAACATTGATCTAGTTTTTGATTGTCACTGCATGTAAACCAAGCTTATATGCCTTTTCCGGGCGTTAGGTCGGGACATTCTGGGCCTGCAACAGCCTGCAGTGGGGTCGGCAGCACCAAGAAAGGGAGAAACGCCAGTCAGCGGCAGTAGCACGAAAGAGTTTCGTTCGTAATCCCGAGAGGGATATCCCTGATGGGCAGATGGATAAACAGCAGCGGCTGCTGCGGCAGCCGCTGCCGCCGCTGCAAATGCCGCTGCTGCTGCGTCTGCTGGCCTTCTGTTTGAACCTGCCGTTTCTGACCGCGCCTCCAATCGGAGCATCTGTACTGCCACCATGGGAGTGTACCAGCAACAAAATCAGTTGCTACAAGAGCGGCAAGCCGTATGCCACTGCGTTTGTTGGGTTGCTGCCGCCGGTTGCATGTCTAAGCAACGGCAACAGAAGCAGCATCAGAGGCGTTATCAACAGCAGTAGCAGTTTGTTCTCTCGAGGATGCTTCAGACTGCACCCACGTCTGCGGGTGCGCCATATGTCCAGGGACAGTGGGAGCAGCCACTTACTTGAGCTGTCTCGCCAGCGGCTTTTGTTGGAGCGCGAAGGAGATCTTGAGAAATACCTCAACCGCCCTCTCTTACCCTTCCCAGCTGAAGGGGAAGTCCACTCCCAGCGAAAGAGAAGCAAAATGCCTGCTCCAGGAGGGTCTGCCCGTGGGCCTCTGCTGCTGTACAGGAAAGCGAAGCAGCTGCTAATGAAGCACAGTGGTACCTCTAACAACCGGCAGGTGCTGATGCTCCGAGACAGACTCACTCTACTTGTAGAGCAGCAACATGAATTACTGGTTGACTCCCCGCAGTCGTCAGTTGAATTACTGCGGAAACTCTGGGGCATCAAGCCAGACGAACCACACACGCTGAAGCAGCAACAGGCACAGCAGCAGCCGCAGCAGCAAAGTTCTGAGAGGGAGAACTCGCTGCTACAGGAGCGGCGAACTCGGCCATTAGGCAGTCGGTTTTTGTTCGTTTGCGGCATAGATCTGCGAATGACAGGAACGGATCTCGAGAACATATTTCAAACAGTCACGGAGCAACCCGTGTATGCAAGGTTGAAAAGAAACACAGGTCAGTAAGCTCATACGGACTGAAATCGTTCCAGCCCTTTGCCTATGTACATTTCAGTTACACTTCACCGTGCCCCCTGCATGGCTGCCTAGTCGTCTGCAGATAGAGCTGGGCGGCTGTGTGCATGCATCTCGACGTTGGTCGAACCGGCAAGCATGCGCCAGTGTTGCGGCCTGTGAAAGTTTGCTGTTTGTGACTCTTGTGAAGTAATTCATGCCTCTCTTTTACCACCCCTTTACGGCGACTCCAATGCCTGCGGTGGCTCATGCACGCATGTGTACAGTGCCAGTAGTTGCATTTGACTGCGTTTGATATTGCTGCCGCTGATCCGGTGTTTGGGGCTGCAGAGGGACGGCACTTGGGATTTGGGCTTATGGAGTTCGGATCGACATTGGACGCGACACGGTGCTTGTTACAGCTAAACGGGATAAAGATAGGGAACAGCATCATCAGGCTCGGGGAAGCTCTTGGCCGAGCCGACGATGCTGAGCAATGGTCAAACCAGCGGCGCCAGCAGCAACCGCAGCAGCAGCAGATGGAAAGTACTCAGAGGGGTAGTAGGAGGAAGACGAAACGAAAGATGGAGAGGTACATACACCCCTACCCTCTCCCTTGTGAATAGATTCCCTTTGCTTCATATTTTGACATTCGCCTTTGAAACAGCGAAGTGCGTTGGTACAGCAGTGGCGACAGCAGCAGCAAGTGCAAAATCTGCTCCTGCAGCAGCAGATCCTCCTCAACACGGAGATCGTTGGATTGTTTTCTCTGGTGTGGTTCTTTGCCGTCTTGGGTTCCTTTTCATGATGTGCCTTCGGCAAAGACAGCAGCAGCAATTGTAACGGCAGCAGCAGCAAGGCAGGTCCCGCTCTGTATGTAGCCTTCAAGGGAATGAAGACTCTGGGGGACCTCCGTGCTACGAACTCACAAGCAGACAGCAGCAAGCAGCAGCAGCAACAACAGCAGCAGCAGCAGGCTAGGGGGCTGGCCGAGCAGCAGCAGCAACCGAAGCAGCAGCAGCAGATCACGACATCTACTGCAGCAGAAGCAAGCTCTGCTTCGTCGACAGCAGCTGCACAACCAGCCCCACCCGCAGCAACACCATCTGCAGTAGGAGCACCAGCAGCAGCACCAGCCGCAGGAGTGCTGCAGTACAGATGGAAATTATTAGATAATAGCAGCAACAACATAATACAATATAATTATGCAGCAGCATTATATAGTGCATTGCTGCTGCACCAGCAGCCGCATAAACTCCGTAATTTGCTGCTGGATAGATTAGAGCAGAAAATTATATTTCCTGCTCTTCCTCTTAATGAGAAAACAGCAGCAGGGACGCTTTATCTCTCGTTACTTTGCTGCTGCTAGATGGGGACACTTGTTGCAGTGTATGTTATGGGACATAGAGGCTTCTGTTCTCTTCTATGTACAGAATGTACACCAGGTAAACCTTGCTGCACCAGCAGCACCAACAGCAGCAGTATTAGCAGCAGCAGCAGCGGTGTTAGTGGTGGTGGTGAGCAAGGAGGAGGAGATCGTGGTGGTGGTGGTGCTCGTGGAGCAGCAGCAAATGCATCTAGAGCAGCATGTAGCAGCAAGCGTGTGGGGAAGCGACCTTCTGCAGCAGGTGGAGCTGCAGCAGCAGTAGCAGCAGTAGCAGTAGTACCCAATCCATTAGAAGCAGCAGCAACAGAAGTAGCAGCAGCAGCGGGGATCATGATAATATAGGAGACAGTGGCACCTTTTGCTGCGTCTGCTGGGGCTGCAGCAGCAGCCCATTAAGTTGTTTGCTGTGCTGCAGCTGCTGTCAGGTGGCTGTACGCCTTCATTGTTATTGTTCTATACTTTATAGTGCAGCACGATGAAGAGAAGGTGCAGCAGCACCGGCACCAACAGCATCTGCTGGTGCTGCTGGTGCACCTATGGATGACTATGCATGCGCTGGGACGGGGAAAAAGACTTGTGGGGCTGCAGCAGCGGGGAAGCAGCTTTAGTTTATCTACTGCTGTTTGCTGCGTCTGTGGTAAGAAAGGAGGAGCATTTACGGGGGCATTATCTCTTCGTCGTGTCCGTTTGCTGCTGCAACAGCAACACCAGCAGCAGCAACAGCAACAGCAGCAGCAGCAGTAGGTAGTCGGCTAGCCATGAAGCTAGCCATGAGACTAGTTAGCTAGCTATAAACCCAGCTAGCCAGCTAGCTATGAAGCTAGCCGTATAGCTATAAGTCTAACTAGCCGGCTAGCTATGAAGCTAGTTAGCTGGCTAGCTAGATAGGAGGACAGAGAATGTGTTTATTTTCTTTCAGTTCGATTGTTTGGGTAGTTTTAGTGTTCAACGAAATTATTTCTCTGCGGCCTACCAACCCCCAAACCCTAAACACTAACCACTAATATATATATATATATATATAATAT